TACTAATAAAAGCTATAGGCTATAAATACTATAAGCTTTATATAATAACTATAGCTATTAAGAAGAACTTTTTATTAAGAAACCAATCTAGCCTAATTAAAATAGCTATTTTTAACTATATTTTAATTAATATAATTAGTTATATAGATCTAGATATTTTATCTTATATAATATCCCTAAACTGGCTAGCTAAAAAGCTATTATAATTAAAAGACCTAAAAGAAGCTATAAGGTAAGGCAAGACCCTAATAACTAATTAAATTACCTTCTTAGCTGCCTTTTTAGGCCTAAACTTAGCTGGCTATAAAGAGTGGCTATAGAATATAATTATTAAAGCTAAATATATACTCGGCTTCCTCCCGCTTATATAAGGGTTAAGGATATATATCTGCAAATAGAGTTCTGGGATGAATGCAGGGTAATGGCGGGGTTCTGGGACTAAAGGTTTGAAGGAATTGGGTTGACTTTACTTTATGTAAGTTAGTCGGCGAAAGTCAAATTAACCTCCACCAATTGAATGCACATGCCCGGACACGTAACCAATCGACCTTGCGTCTAAAAGCAGATAAAGTGATATTAGTAAAGAAGCAGTAGGTTAAACTGGGGAAATATCTTTATAATAGTAATATATAGTTTATACTTATTTATATTTCTATAAACTTAACTTACTAACTATTAATAAAATTTCTTTATATTAATTAAGCCTAATATATTTTAAATTTACTATTAAGAGATATAATACTTTAATAACTACTTAATATTATACCCTATATAATCTACTAATAATAAACCTAATATAGCTTAGTTTATTTATAGTTAGGAACTAACTGTTATATTAGTTAGTAGAAGCTAAATTAATATTTACTAATTAAATATATATACCTAAGTATATAACTAATTAACTTTATATTTAAGAACTGTAAAAAAAGTAATATTAATAAAGAAGTAGTAGTTTAAACTGGAAATATATATATATATATTATATTAAATTAAAGTTAATTTATTAACTATTAATAATATTTCTTTATATTAATTAACTTTAATATATATTAAACTTATAATTAAAAGATATAATACTTTAATAACTATTTTATATAATATTTTATATAACTTTTTAAAACTAAACTTAATTATAAATTAATATAATATAATATAACTTAATTATTATATTTTAAATCTATATTATATTAGCTTTAATTCTTAATAAATTTAAAAAGTTATATTAATAAAGCTTATAGTAAATTAATAAAAATATAAATACTTTAATATATTTTTATTTTAAAACTATTTAATATAATTTATATATTATATATTATTATTTAATTAAATTAAATTTAAAATTATAGCCTTTTAATAAAATATAAATTTATATTTTTATATTATTTAAAATTTATTATAGCTTTTTAATATTTTATTTAATTAAACTATAATTTAAATCTTAAAAAAATATACTAAAATAATAAAAGTTACCTCTTTAAATATATAAAGCCTAACTAATACTCTATCTTTTTAAGTTCCTCTCAGGGCGGATACCATAGTTACTTGGTGTAAATACTGAACCTGCTGCTCTATCTTGTCGGGATGTCTGAAAGCTATCTTGCATAATAGCCTGGAGCTTTATGTTCATGCCGCTTTGCACTGCTGCAGTTTTCCGTAAGGAAAATGCATAGTTTGAGCCACGCGTTTCTCTGACATCGTGGTCCCCATCTGTACGGTACGTTTCTGATGCGTTCCCTCCTTCATTTTGATGGATCATTATGTTTTCGGAATCCTCTATCGTGTGTACATTCCGACCCACATCATCGACCCTTATCGACGGTGCAATCACGGAGACGCTAGTATGGTCCTGCTTTGACCCTTGAATAGAGGTGGTTGTTGCCTCGAGACCATGAGACGGCTGTAGACTCAAGTTGAGATCACCCTGCCTTGGACCCCCGAACTTCGGCAGTTCAATATCTTTGCCTCTGTTTCGATCTTTTCTCTTATCTGGTCTGGTTGAGTAGCGTTTTATATCTGTTGCAGTCTTGGACCTGAATCGCCTCGTTAGTCTGCCATCGGGAAATGGAAGACTGCCATGACGCTGGTGTCTGGGTTGACGGGATAATGAAGCTATGGTGTATGACCGTGTAGATCTTTTCCACATAGCTTCTTCTGTCTTTCTATCTAAAACCTTTGCAGGTTTAGAGCCAAACATACGAGAGAGCATCGATGAAGAACTATTGAATCTCAGACTTTCAACTGCATCGACTATCTTGCCTGAGAATGCAGCAAATGCCAACGTGAGCAGTAGAACAGGTAGTGCAGAAACAGGATAGTACTCCGTGGGAAATGTGGTTCCTTGCATACTGAAAAGTGCCTAGACAGCTATATTAGTCGCTTTCCCGTAGCTAGCTGGTATCATAGTTTTGACTTACTGCGACATAAGACAAAGGAACAAATACAAAAGCTAGAACAGTCAAGCGGCCAAGGATCCGACTTTGTTCTATGGTCTCAGTGTTAAAAGCCTAAAAAATGTAATTAATAACATGGAGCGAATATCGAGTATTAGGCAAGAGAGGAAAATTAATAAGTACCATGACGAAATAGAACGTACCAGCGACAGAAGATTCTCCAATTGTTTCTGCATTTTTCCCATACTCACGTCTACATGCTTGAAACTCATCTGAATCTCGCCGATCCTATGCAATAAGGAATCCACGTCTCTACTTAAGGATGTGTCTTGATCCTTATGCGATGTGTTTCGCTTGATACTCTCTGCGACTTGTTCGATGATAGCTTGATGAAGTTGAGTGTATTCACCTAGTTCGATCAGTGTGCCAATATCGCGATGTATTAGCCTTGCGATAAACATAATGGGTAATGTCCTTAGATATACTACAACTTCCTAATATTGCTTTATGAGCCCGATACCACTATCAACCATGATGTAGGACGTGGCAGAAAACGAACGTACCATAGTAGTCAGTGCTTCGGCAGTTGCTTCAATGACACCATCCCATTTATTGAAAATGAAGAAAACGTCAACGACGAGCCAGTGAAGCGAATGAGTTAGTCGGTTCCAACGCCGAGGATTCTCGAGGAAATGATCCTCAATTCGATCCTCCATGCGGTTCTCGCTTTCAACGCAAAGCAAAGCAAATGGTCTGTCGGGAAAATCTGGGAGACCGCCTGCTTCACAGGTCCAGTAGAAAATGCGCACTGGCTTTGCAGAACCTAGAGGGCCAGCCGTCACTTTTCTGAGGCACAATGTCTGACTGTAAATCTGCATCTTGGGCATACATACGTGTATTATCGAGGTTGAGAAGTTTTTGAGAAGTTTTCACACTGTCTGAGTCGTCGACAACATCGATCAGATTTATCACAAACGCAGTTTCTGTTATATGAGCTAGGTGATCCATTGCCTGTTAAATGAGACATACCGAGACCATCGGAGTCTGTTACTGGCAGTGAGACTATGCTGGAGGATGTAGATGCCATTTGATGATAGGATTCTGGCGGCAGGCGAGGTATTATGCCGCGTAACATAGCATCAGTCCATTGTCTCCAACCGTCTAAAGCACTATAATTTGGTCAATTACATCCACTAGGTTCGTTTCTAGGGAGCCCACAGTAAGATAGGGCCATGAGACTTCGCAACTTCATCTCTCATAAAACCGGAAAAGCCGTCTTGCTGGTATTCATCGATATCAGCTGCGATTTTCTCGACTTCATCGCTATCATTCTGGATCGCAAGCATCATCACAGTTTGAGACCTTGACAGGGGATTACCCCAAACGTGATTCACTGGTGCCATGATATCGTTTCAGAGCGACTTTAGCAAAGTGTACGTCGCGGTTGAGATAAATGAAAAAAACCAAAGGATAAAATGCGGGATAGCTAGCTTATATAGATGCCGCATATTTTCATTAAGTCTGGGGGCGGTTTATATAGTCTAGTGTCGGGTAAAATATGACAACACATACTGCGGGGTAACGCTGTAGTTACTGGAATATCTGTTAACTCATTATGCCTTTTAAGTAGTAATTGCAGATCTGCTACCTGTATATTTCTGGCCCTACTGCTTATTAATTATATTACTGCATATTACTTATTCCTTATAGCCACCAGTTTAAATAAGCTAGTATATAGCACTTTACTATTTTAAATTAAATATATTAGGCACTTTTTATTAATATATTGCCTAGCTAATATAGCTCTTTTACCTAACTGTAAGATAATTTTTATTAAGAAGGTTTAATATTAAGTAATAAAGCATAATAATTAAGTTTAATTATATTAAATTAAGTAATATTTAGGTTTATTATTAATAGATTATAAAAGGTATATTAAATAGCTACTAAAGTATTATACTTTTTAATAATAAATTTAATATATATTAAATTTAATAGATATAAAAAACTTTTATTAATAATTAATAAATTAACTTTATAGAAATATAAATAAATATAAACTATATATTATTAATTAAAAGGTATTTATAAATATTTCCTTTAAAAATTAAAATATTAATCCTTTAGTTATAAATTAATATTATAATATTTTTATTTTAATTTAATTAATTAAAATAAAAAGACTAAAAGAAGTTTATTTAATTTATTTATAATTAGTAATAATAGTAGGGAAAGTTATAGAGTATATAAAATGTAACCACAAGGGTTATAATATAAAGTAATATAGGCTGGCTACTTATTAACCTTTTAACTTATTACTCTTTAACTTTAGCAGTGGAATGCCAAGGATCGTGCGGCGAGGAAGAAGCAAGATGTGGGAGACGGGGATTATCTGGAAATCAACGATGAACAGAGACTCAACGACGAATAGAGGCTTGACAATGAACAGAGACCTGCTAAACGTTCACAACACGGACGTGCCTGCACCAAACCCCCTATCGTGGAGTTGGACTCTAATGAAGCTGCGGCATCTTGATTTTTGGGATTGGATCGGATTTCCGAATAAAGTGGTTTGGATGACCGATACGTATATTGGATGGTTGGACTATTCGCAGAAAGGCCGGATGATTGAGTTGACAAGGCGTTGGATGATACCCTCTTGGCGTTGGAGCATACTTTGCATAAACTCTAGAAGCTGCCACAGGAATAGGATATGGCGGCGTTTAGGATTATGTCTTTTGATACTGTTGGTAAACCAGTAGACAGACTTTCAGTCAGACTTTGTGACAAACAAATTAGTCAGACATGCATGTTGATTGCCCAAGACAGTACTCTTAATGTGTAACTCTATAAGCGGAGGTAACAAAACTTGATATACGTTCTAAATACTAACAAGCTTTAGGCAAGTTTAGTAAAACTTAGTTCAGGCTTAGACCCTGGGTCGGGCTTTGTGGCATACTAGTTGAACGTCAGAGGCTCTGGTAGAGGCATTTTCACCATGGTTTCATCATTGTTCCCTCAATAGGCTGTTTATAATAAAGCAAATAGATTTGCTCCTCACACAGATCATAAATCCTTGGTAGCAGCTCATTCATCACTTATCGATGCCTCGCTTGGGGGATGATGCCTGAGGAACCTTGGCCATGATTAGTTTCGCGACATTTTGCTATAGAGCCACAGGTTCTGGGAAGTGCATCACACTCTTTTTTAAGGACGCTATAGAGGCTGACTGCATTAATCTTGGTCGTATCCAAGCAGTGCGTGTTGTTTCTGGAACTATTCAAACAAATCCCACGTACCAAAGCCTGGAAACCTGGGTTTTGCTGTCTGAACTAAACCAAGGCCAGTTTGGTGCTTGCTCCTCGCCAAAGGGCCAATTAAAGGACCCATTTGCTGTGAGAAGTTCTAGATCTTCTGTTTGATTATATTGAAAGAATAAGTATCTGCAGTTGCCATAAAACCCGTCGCCACCAACGAGTTTTGATGAGACCATCTAACGCAGTCAGGAACTTGATCCACGCTCCGCACAATCAACCATTAAAATTGACATCACATCCTGAATGCATTATCTCCTCAGATATCTCTCTCACTTCATGGCTAGACTGCGGAGGTGATGCCACATAACTAACACGAGATTGAAACGAGTGATGTCTCACGATGAGCCTGCATATGGGAACATTACAAGCTCTCAATGCCGATTCAACCCGATGTTGCTTTACTATGGCACTGGAGGCCTTGATTGCGTGAGGACGACTTTTTGCTCTGGTGCCACGTTTCTCGGCAAGAGGGTGACATCAGGCGCTTAAACAGGCCCCACGACCGGCTTAAAAGCCTTCAAACCGTGAAGTTCTCTCGCTCGACTGAAGGGACTGTGGTCTTCTTCAACAGCAGCTGTATACTGTACCTTGTGGATTATGTTGGACGCAATAGCTTACTTACGAGGACTGTACACAACAACACAATTGTTGTGCTCAAGTCAAGATCTGAAACAAGGCTTCACCCCACATATACCCTAGAAGGAAGGGGAAAATCCTCATGGCCATGTGAGACAATAAAAAGCCTTGAAAAGGTATGAGAAAGACTTGAAAGTGACTGCTGGGGAGGACGTTGATGATGTTCCCAGAAATGGAGACTTGTACCACTGTACAGAGATGCACTCAACGGAACCCCACATGATATTAGTCCCGGGACAGGGTGCCTTTTAGGTCTCTGGTAATGTATTAACGCCTGAGGTGTCTCAGGTTATCAGCGAGCTTTCTAGTATTTATAAGGCAAACAACTACACACAAGATCAATTTGACCACCACCTCTAATTAAAGGATCAAGGCTCTTTCGATCAAACTGAATGCTTGTAGTGACTAATGATCTGCGCTTTGTGTAAAGTGGAATTGTGCATGGACCACAAGCCCAGTCTGTGCGACTCATCCTTCGAGAAAACTGCGGCCCAAATTAACTGACGATCCTTATCTTAGCTTGCTTTTCTTATCTAGTATCCATCTTAAGATACCTTTATCCCAGACACGAGCTGTAATGCCCCACACAATTTGATCTCACACAATTCAGTCGTCCTCTTGTCCCACTAAAATCTATCTTAAGATTGTTTCTTCCCACATTAAAGATATTTTGAAACTTCAGTCTCACACCCACTTCAGTACAATCAGCCACTCATCCCTCCCACATATAGGCCATATTTCTGCGACGTAATTTTGCTCGACCTTTGGGTATTTTTTTCTGTTTCTTTTCGCCCATCATCTCAGCCATGCCGGTCGGTCATGCTACGAAATAGCTTTGATCTAGTTGCAACTGGGGAAACTTACCTGCTCATAAACGCTCATCACAGGAACTGATCTTGAAATCCTTCTTTACAAACTATCTATAGTGAATAGAACTGCCACTGGGCACCTAACCTAGTGTAATTCTCCTGGTTGAACCTATCTCGTCAATGCCCACAAGCTTTAACCTAAGGTAGGTAGACGAATGTAGAGATACAAGGTGGACTAGTCCAGATTAGGAACTTGTCATGCGATGTCGCCATGAAGTCCATGCAGAACTATTAACCGGCTTCTGCTGGAATCGCCATCACAGCCAAGACAACCATAAGCGTGAGAGCATAGATAATATTTTAGCCATAGTACACCTTTGCCAAACTTTCTTAAATATGCATGTTAATTCAAAGATGGAAATATTATGATTAGCGGGGGTTGCTGAGGTCGTCCAATCAACAACCACGTTCACGCAGATAAGCATCAACCCCGCCGTCGGGTTTAGCTAGGCACCATCGTTCTAGTTATATAGCGCAGTGCCCTTTCCTTCTAACATGGCCAGTTCCATTCGAGATACCGGGATCTCTATCGTTTATGGACCTGAAAACAGCGCCCCAGTCGTAGAGTACGTTCTCATAGAGCTTCTAGTGCTTTCTATTGACTCATCAGCATCCTGTTCGTACACGGCCTCGGTGGTCATCCTCGGAAGACATGGACTAGTTCCAAAAAGGCCCCTGGGATCCACGAGCCGTTATCAACCTTTGAGTCGTCAAGGAAGAATTCTCGGAGGAGTGTCCTCGGTCGCGCTCTGGATCGCCTCCATCGAACATCTCGGAACACGGCAGCAGAACCTAGGCCTGAACCTAGGCCTGAACCTAGGCCTGACGCATTACACGACGATGCCAACCCCGCCGTGGTCTTTTGGCCTGTCGACCTTCTCGCCAGAGACTTCCCGAATTCACGTATTCTCGTGTTTGGATATGATAGCAAGATAACTAAATACTCGGCTGGCGCAGTCAGTGAGAATAGTGTCTTTTCACATGCCAAAGACCTTCTTTTTGCGCTTGCCCTGGAGAGGCCCCTCAATCGTCCTCTGATATGTGTAGCTCACAGCCTCGGCGGCATTATTTTCAAGGAGGTATGTCAATTGGTGGGATTTAGTTTCAACCATTAATCTCTCCTTCAGATGCTTTCGAGATCTTCCTCATCCACACGATGTGAGCATCAGAATATCCTTGAATCGGTCGAAGCAGTTATTTTCCTTGGCACACCACACCGCGGTAGTGTAGACATTGCCGCTAAGGGGGAAGTAGCTCGGTCGCTGCTCAGTGCCTTAGGAGTAGCCACGACTCCAGTCATTCTAGACTCCCTCGGCCTGAAGAACACAGATCTAGAGAGAGCACAGGAGGAGTTTTCCCGGCTTTGGCATACGAGTAACTTTCGGGTCAAGACTTTCCAAGAAGGGCTCATTCTCCCTAAGTTGGGGAAGAAGGTTGTTCCTGAATACTCCTCTCTCCTTGGAAACCATCGCGAACATGCTGAGACGCTGCAAGCTGATCATCTCGAGATGTGTCGGTACTCAGGGGAAGATGACCCAAACTATCGCAAAGTCGCTGGCGAGATCCGCTCTACCTACCTTTTGATTACGACAACTAACAAACTAGAGTCACTCGGACGCTGGGAAGAGAAGAACCAGAGCCCTGCACCGAGCGTTGGTGTGTCTCAATGTTCAAGAAATGATTTTCAGGATCAAGCTGGTAGAGCATGGCGCCAGTCATTGTGGTTTCCGGCCATCATTAGACGCTATGAGACTTTGGGCAGCCCAGCTGATCAGACATGTCATTGGCTTTTTGATAATGAAAACTTTCAAGATTGGCTAAGCGGAAGAAACCAGGAAAGACATCAAGGACTTATCTGGATTAAAGGTAAACCGGGCTCTGGAAAGTCAATGTTAATGGGAGAAGCGTTCCGTCGAGCAACCCGAAGACAAGCAGAAGCGTCAGCCCCGTCTCAAACAGCGGCTTTCTTCTTTAGTCGCAAGGGTGATCAACTTGAGCACTCGGTTTTTGGTCTTTTTCGGTCTTTGATCTATCAGCTCTGTTCCAAAAACCCGCTTTTCATGCAATCTTTTCAGGAAGTTTGTGATGCAAAGACCAAGACTGGATGCTTCATGGCATCAGAAGCTTTGACTTGGCAAGAAGCTGAACTCAAGGCTGCCCTAGAAAAGATGATTCTCCAGAAGACAAGCAGCAAATTAATGATCTTTATCGATGCTCTGGATGAGTGCGACTTAGGTAGTGTGCGAGATCTGGTTTACTTCTGGCGGAAGATCACAAAGTCAGCCTTCGCTTTGGGGATCGATCTGAAAGTCTGTCTATCGAGTCGGCATTCTCCCTTTGTCACTGTGAGTGACTGCCCAGAAATCATCATGGAGCAACACAACGGTCACGATATCTCGACATATCTAAAGCAGAGGATCGAGATTGGAATTGGCATCCACAACTCACAATGGCAAATCTTGGAAGAGAAGATCAGAGAAAGGTCAGATGGTATGTTTCTCTGGGTAGTCCTGGTGGTTGACGAGTTGCTTCGAAGCTGGGATGAAGGCAGAAGTCTTGAATACTTGACCAAGCGTGTTGAAAACACCCCGCAAGCTCTTGAGACTCTATTCTCCGAGATGTTGTCACATTTCACGCCCGAAAGGAGGGATATCGCTGTGAAACTATTCCAATGGGCTACCTTGGCCACAAAACCACTTCGTCTCCACGAGTGGCATCACATAATGGGGTTTATTAGGCATCCTACGCCAACGTCACTTGCTGAATGGCGAGCATCAGATTACTTTACAGCAACCGATGAGCAGCTGGTGAAACAGATCAATACTCTTTCTCTGGGACTGGTCGAGGTGACAGGGGCGATCGAGGTCCCGCCGCATGGCTCAGGCTCTGACGTATCGTCAGTGGGTGTAGACGCGGGATCGTTGACCCTTGAACACGGTAGTACTAGGATCGTACAGGTAATCCACGAGTCAGTACGAGACTTCTTCTTGAGAGGCAATGGGTTCTCAGCGCTAGACCCGAGCTTTTTTACCAATCCTATTGGCCGTGGACACTTGTCTATCATGGCCACTTGTCTGGACTATGTGAGCATCGGTGAGCTCGATGCTTTGGTAGGGGCACGGCAACGACTTACCTATCGAGGGAAGGACAAAAATGAAGGAAAGAGCCCAGCTTCATTGACGGACTCGAATAGGGACTACTCTCTCGGATATGAAGAGCATCCACAACAAGGCACAATCACTCTACCTCTACGTCGCAAGACAATACCAGAGGATGATAGCAGACCAGAAAAAGCTATAACAGGCTCTCCCGAGTCACATTCGTTTGTGGCTGTACATCGATGGCTGGAAGAGAGCGGCAATTCTACTGCTGAGTCGGATTTACTCATCGACATTCCACAGGCTCCATTCTCGGATGCATCTGACACACTTCGCTCCCAGATCCTCGAAGACCACCCTGCGCTACTCTCGTACGCTACATTCGCACTGTTCGAACACGCTCGCCTAGCACCCATCGATGGGACCGATATAACTCCAATTCTCGATCATCTTAATGACGAAATAACATGGACTCGTTGGAAGTATTTGAGAGAGGATGTGCCGGAGGGAGTAGAACTGCTTGAATTTTTGGAGGACTTGGGTCTTGTCTCATGGATCAGCGCTTTTCACGATCGATTCAGTCGTGGCCAAAAGAGACGAGGGAGTCCCCTTTCAAGAGACGTCCCAGCATCACCAATTGATACTCGAAGGTCTACTCTTTATCCGAGTCATCAACTGCCGGGAGACGAGTCACGACGGAATTCACTTCCAGTGCCTCTTTCAATACCCCCAGTTGATCCTCAAGAACACCCTCCTCCGATGACACGTCCAAGACGCCGAGGTGAGAGCCCCCAAAGTCTTAACCGCATACCCAGAAGAAAAGTCAGTGTCGCCAGCTTCGGCTCTGCCAGTAGCCACGATGGATACGACAGATTCTCCCCCAGACTCGAGTCTCCGGGGCCGGTTAATTCCAAGGACCTCGGAAAGGCAATTTTAGGATTTTTCATGTGTGAATGCTGCCCCAAGAAACCTAAAAAGTTTGATACACGAGAAGAGCTCGCGTAAGTCTCTTAGTCATGTCACCTTCGCCTTTGCTAATAGTTATAATAGAGCACACGAGTCTGAGAAACAATTCGAGTGTTCATACTGCGGTAATAGATTCAAGTCACAAGGGGAAGCCGAGAGGCACCAGAACTCGATCCATATTAGAAAACAGTCTTGGTCCTGTTCAAACCTACCAGGCTACGACAGCGCCTTCCAGGAGTCCAGCCAGCGACCCGAAGAATGTGACACATGCGGATTTTGTGGCGATGATTTTCCACGTTCTGGTACGGCCGGGAACGGGACCTATGCTACTGAAGAAGATCGGGACGAACGCATAAGGCACTTGCTGGAGGTCCACAAGTTTAGGGAGTGCAACAGTACAAAAAAGTTTTACAGAGCGGATCACTTTTGGCAGCACTTAAAACATAGTCATAGGGCTACTCGCGGGAAGTGGACGGATAAATTAGGGGATTTATGCTGTAAAAAGGAAGAAGATTATATTAGTAGAAGACGCTGACTCGGTGTTCTGTACCCCGGGCGAAGCAGAGTTAGGGCTCTAGGTATCTAATCTGCCAGCTATGAATGGACTTCGGAAGACGTCTTGAGATCTGCGTTTTGCGACGTCACTGGCAGGACTACGTATCTGCATTTGTCTTGGGAACAACCTGTGAAACTGCACGAACACATGGTTTATCTTATAAAACTGCAGCTTAAACCAAGGCCTTAGCGTGGCATTTCTCATTCCCTCGCGAAAAAGGTTAATGTCCTTCTTATAGATACTAAAGAGTTGATAGTCAGCAGCTCTGAAGCACAGGAACAGTTACCCAGGTTTCTCTACCTTTTGACGCTACCTTAGACATCGCCGTCAAGCCCCGCTTGTTATCGAAAACTACGCCGAGAACAACGGATCTGTAAAAGTCTACGTAAGCTTTCCTCCAAGTCTCGGGATGATGCAGATCACCAAGAATATAAGGTTCTTAGCTTGGTCTATTGATCGGCTGGTTTGTGGTCAAATCCTGATGCGTAGCCTTTCGTTCGCTTCGCCATAGGGCAAGTGGACTATTCGCGTGCGGTCTAGAAGATGCTCGTAAGCCGTGCAACATTTATCCTGGATTGATGTTATGAGCGACTCGAGATCTCTCTTACATCCCATCTGGGAGGGAGGAATGTAATATAACTTCGTCGTATACTGCTCCTGAACATAACTAGCTATTAGGCATTTTAGTACCAAACGAGGAGAGTGTGGTGACTGACCGCTCAACGAGAAAGCGATAAATGACGCGGTTACCAGATGTCAGGCCCTGATCCATTCAGATACACCTGTGAAAGGATGGACAGTAGAACCACGATGTCCTAGGTTCGAGATTTATCTTGCAGATTCGGGGCACTGTTGACTGTGTGGTCTCAGGACTTATTGGCAACGGTCTGGCTCTTGTTCCTCCTCGGAAATGTGGCCAAGGTGCCGTGGAAAGCCTGCGGAGTTACTCTAGAGGCTCTCAGAACGGCGGTACCTTCGGAGTTGCATGCATAGCGGCTCGCGAATGTGAAGAAAAGGCTGACTGGATGGATAAATTTGAATTCCTGTCGTTAGTGGGCTTGTGATGGAGTTCTCGGATGATTTTCAGCGACAGATGTTCGAAATGGAGTCCTAAGACGGCCCTCCAAGTCTGACATGGATATTCAGTCCCTCTTAATGTATGATCAAAGCCATGTAAACTTTATGCAGGTTTCTGGGCAAGCCTATCTAGAATGCTACAGTTCGTGATGCCAAAGCTCGGCATACCAAGTTCGGAACACCGAGGCTCGGGATACCATGACTGCGACGCCATCAGTTTGAGTACAAGTAGTCGATTGGTGCCTGAAGGTTTGACCTTTAGTCTAGAAACAAAGTTTATAGACAAAGAAATAAGGTGATTCTCATCAATATATGCTTCAACCTATGCGGTTTCACGATGGCTTTAGATGCCTGGATTTAGCATCCAAAACCCCGGAGGCCGGAGCACCATAGTTTGGATCACCACAACGTAAGCACAGAATGCCCGCGACTCTCACCCTGTGTATAATTTTAAAACTGAAGTCCAAGGCGCTTTTCTTGTTATTGCTTTATTAATCTCAGCTCGTAGCTGCATGTTAGACTGATCACGAATCTCCCCGAGAACTCAGTATGTCTCACTTTCCTATACTCAATTCCGAGAAGCGGAACTCACGTTTTCGGTCCTGCAGGTCAATAGCATCAGCACGGTTATAAATGGCGCATGCGCTGTTCATATTCAAGGAACTATCAGTTGGATGGACACTTATGAGGGCCAACGCTTATGGAGTATGTGAAGGTGTCAATCGAGCTCGGAACACTGTGTATGAGCTTCTTGCCAAAACTTCTGGAATCACCCCTCGACTAGCCATCGTGATAGACACTTTTGACGAGTTCTGGAAGAGTTTGACAAGACTGGGATTCTGGGACATGTCATTGCACTTACTGAAAGAACCCATGAAATGCCACTAGAGATATGAGAACGAGAATATCGTCTTTGGAATTGACTCACCTCCCAGCTTCCCTTACTCTAGTATAATATTGTTATGCCCTTGATCTTCAGGGATCTCCATGTCCGGGGTAATTTTGGCAAAACCCGACAAGGGGCTGCACGAAGGGGACGCTGCTAGAGTTAACCCCATAAGCCACTGGCTAAGTTTAGGTATCAGATGTATGATCCTGCCCGGCGATTTTAGATATCGAGCGAACTTGGCTGGGAATTCTGTTCTCTGCGGCACGCAATTCAGCCGTCATGACTCCTTTTCATTCCCGATCCATGCATCCATCACCGGAACTCGAGCTATGCTCCATTCCCGTGATCTTGAAATCAGGTCTCGGTCTCCCGCCACCCCAAGTATCCTCGCACAATATTTCGCGTCTTCAAGTCAACCCTCTACATCCAACCCTATCTTAATGTGCTGACAAGGTGCGATAAGTGTATTGTTGATGACGTCTCTCACAAAATCTAACATTGCACAACATAGGCTGGAACCTCTACGTGAGCCATGGGAAGGACATCGCGCCTGGCTTGAATGTGCCAGAAGGTATATGACTCACGGCGACTAGAACAAATGGGCGGGCAGAATGTTTGGATGGTTTGCGTTAAATCGTGTGCTTCGAAGAACTTTAGGGAATGATACGAGAGCAAAAGGGGAGTGACAGGAAACCCTCGTTGGTGGGTTACGTTATTGACAAATATTGATTTACATAAGCTGGCGTTTTCATGTTCTAGCCCAGATCATCAAAAATATAGCTCCATTCTAGATCATAATTCTTCCAGAAGATTTAAGTCAACCCATGTGTAACTTGAGAATCCTCTGCGCTCGAAACAACGCAGCATCGAGTATTGCTAAAGCCAGACGGCACCAAAGACTGGGATGAGCAAATAGTCCCTTGGATGGAGTGAAGGGAAAGGAGGAAAAGACTCAGCTCAGGAGCAAGGACGACAACTAAGTTCGGTCTGCTGATTTAAGCTCTCGGCCACAAATACAATGGCATTTGCATCCTAGGAAAAAATAACCGCCGGCATGTAATGCAGATGAAAGCTATCTATGCCATTCCCAGACATGGCGGCCTAAACTGGAAGGCAGAAGAGAATCATTCCAAAGATCTCTGTAGCTGAGCTCATGTGTTAACAACGATGAAACGTCTCGAGAAACAAGATCAATCAGAGTTCCCATAATTGATGATTTGAGTGAGCTGTATGATCAATATCATGCATAATACTAAAGAAATCTATATATAAAGAACTGGTTTGCGATATTCTGTATTGTATTATAGACACCCTACAGCTTTCTGGCGACACTACCAACGAAGGGTAGCTGGCGGACTGGAAGAAAATGTCACAGTCCCTCGTCCCAACCAGCACGAATGATCAAGCTGGGGTGCCTTTGTCCTCACTGGCGTCATCTTCAGGTGAAATGGAGTCTTATTAGCTCCCTGAGCTTAATCTAGGGTTGCCACCCCGCACATTTCGAGATAAAAGCCAAAGTAAAATATGGATACATAATACAAGCTTTTTAAGAGGATTCCGCGATCTTCCGGTTACTATTCACAAGCTTCTGCCGTCTTATAAGCCCGAGCAAAGATAATGGAAGTCTCTATTCCAGGTTACGAAAGAAGCCGTATTCGCAATAGTTCATGAATTGTTTCGACTGAAGGGACACTCAGCAATTGACAAGAGGACGCTATTTTGACGCACTTGACCAGGATATATACACATCACCTTGATACTAGCACGAGAATTCCCTGTTACTTCTGAGACTCACCGTCGGCCAATGTCATGCCGTTTTCATGAGAGCACTGGGTCTCTCTGGCTTCCACGAAGTGTTCATTCGGCGTTTAGCATACAAAGTGAAATCTCACCAGGTCACATCCTCAATATCATCTTCATGAAGATTTATATAGTATCGCTAACGAGAGAGACGCGGAAAATAAGACTGAGGCCATGTTATTCACTAGTGAAGAAGGTTTAGTGGGATTTCCTGTTAGCGACGAACGAGATCTGGAGGACAGCTGCTTCACGGACGAAATTCCTTTCGGGCTTGAAACAAGGAAGACAGCATAAATGGGAGGGTTCTGCTACTGGATAGAAGGCGATCGTGTCGAGATTTCATTCCTTGAATTGTAGCGTCTAATTGCTCGTTCGTTGGACCTTGAGTCAACACTTTCTTGTCACGTAGACAACTAGATTACGTTCTTCCTGAGCATTGCTGATAACAATGCTTCGCATACACGACGGCTCTCCAGAACCAAGCGATATGATCCAAGAGCTCCAGCATAAAAGATTAAATAACTGAAATTTGCGAGGATGCTTTCCGGGGTTTGCCTATCGTCTATGTCATCTAGGACTGGTAAGGTATATGGCTCAATCCATCTCTGTAGTGCCTGGTAGTTTTCGAACACTTTCAGCTTGATTTTACGTTCTTATGCCAGATTGAAGAGCTGAAACTCTGTACATTCCGCTTCTTATTCGCTTCCGACTCCTGTCGTCACTGCGGAGGTCATTGACTTTGGTCTCGATCTTGTTCTAGGTTATGCTTGATCCTGTTTCGGCTCAAAGAAAATAAAATGACTATAAAATGAGGTAAAACTATGGACAGTAAGAGATATTCGTAGGTATCAATGAGTATGGGAACGACACCAGAGTGAAGAATAGCATGATCAAGAAACTCTATTCCTTTACTGCTTGCGTCAGTGGCATTGACGCCAGTATAATCACATGCATTACTACACACTTGTAGACTTATGAATTGTACGCTGCTTTGACACAAACTTAGCATTTTTTGACTTTTGTAGCTTGCCAAGGAGAGCTGAAGTGATGTGACCTGACTATAGTTTATGAACGTGCATAACGAGTTGAGATACGCGGAAGAACCTTGGGACAGTAACTTTCATTTCATGTATGCCAAATGAGTCCTTGGATGTATGGAAGTGGGATGGAGGGCTGGGAAAGCTTAGAAATATAGCCTCTTCGGGGAACAGTGGACCTGTGATCAGGTTTTTGAGGTTATGAGATATCAGCCCCAACGTGCAGAGGTAAATAACACCAATAGATAAATTATTATTGCTTCTGAAGCCTATAAGAGAACAAAAGAGCTGAGATATAATTAATGAGAAACTCGGAAAGCTTGTACAAGAGACAAGATAGTTTTCTTGATTATCTTGAGCTGAGGAAACGCGTACCTCCTACCAAGCCTGATGCTGACCAACTTGTCACTATCGCAAAGAGATCAGGTACAAATAACATATGCATGACGAGTTAGCGCTGCCAAAATCTACCTCGTGGTATTTACGGCGACAGAAAGTGGCTTTCACTGCTATTTTCGCTGAAAGCCCAACACACTCAGATTCAAGCGACCATACCAACGGGTTGGCAGGCAAGACTCCCACAATATTGCAGAAGCCATCCAACCTAGAGTTTTTTCTGTTAATATCTAAGGCCACCTACTTGACTTTTGAGATGTAAGTAGCGAGATGAGGCCCTCTCTCACCTAGAAGGATAACCGTAGTTTGCAAAAACGACGCAGATTTAACAACAAAGGTTCATAATAAAGGGGCTTGCCTTGAGATCGAAGAAGAAATTGAACGGGCAGGTGGAAGTAGTAAGGCTTTTGAACTGTCTGAAGAGATTTAATCCAGATGTCTGAAGTTATACAGATATCGATATTCATGTCGCTGTCGGCCGCGTTTGATCTTTTTGGGTGCCCGTAAGTATCGTTGGACGAGGTCAAGAGGCGACGACGACACGCATCAATCCTCTAACATTTATAGCGGCTCATACTTTCTCGCAATCTTGAACTTTTGCATGGCACACGTTTCCCAAGGTCCGGCTTCTCTCAGTCATATTGTCCTCAGCCAGTTTCCCACCCACCAAAGTACACTTTGTGCTGTAATAGATGATCTGCTCGGTGAACACTGGGCTATCTCACGCCATGAACTATGATACGACTGGGCGGAGTAACGTCACGTTCGCCAGGTACTAGCAAAAGAGAAAGTTTAGTAACTGCAGCTTTTACTCAACATAGAGTATAAGCTTGTCTTCGTTCGCTGTCAAGTCCAAGATACTGTGTTTTCCGTCATAGCAAGCGCTAGATCCCCATAGGTACATGGAGTGGCATGGGTGCGAGGTGTACCCTGTTGGCGGAGCATGATTTCGAGGAGGATAAGCACGAGTCAGAGCTATGAGTAATGCTGTTCGGATAAAATGACCGTGGTTTCAATGTTACGTACGACACTTTAAGATAGTAACATTAAGCCATGAAACCCCCTCACCCGGTCTCAGAACTCATCTGCAGAATCCTGGTTTGCAGACCCACGCCTGAGCTTGACCTCGAATTCTGAGTTTTGGCATCAGCTCGCGCTTGGTATATCTCCATGACGTCTGTGTAACAAACGAGCGCCAGTTAATTAGCTGTGAGGTGAGCCTTTATGTACTTGACAAGTATTGCAATTATGTATACCAGTTTGCTTACTCTAAGGTACCAAGATATACGCAAGGGTAGGCAATGGTTTATATATAAAGTGATTAGAAATAAAATAAAAGGTCTCTTTTAACACACTAGCTTAAGTTATCGCATAGAGATAGGATGAAGCAAACCTACGCATTGTTGGTCTGCTTGTTTTAATTTAGTTAATAATTCTTTATAGTCCCTTCCCTTTCTGAGATCAGACGGTATTCTTGCAGCTATGTGGTTGAAATCGTCAACTTGAGCACCGTTATCCAGCATGTAGTGCATAATTTCAAACAAGCCTTCATTTGCTGCTAACGCCAAGGGACTCTGATCAGTATCAAATCCAGGCCCCGAAGGATTAACGCCTTCCCGTATTAGTATTTCTACTAACTCGCAATTGCGACTTCTGATCGCTTCTCGCAATAGTCTGTAGCCATCGTCCTTCGAACCTTCTGTATTTGCTTTCGCTCCAGCTCTAATTAGAAGCTCAATAATATCAACGTCTGGTCTTAAAACGGAGAAAGCCTCCAGTAGGGCGGTCTGTTGGTGCATAAAGACACCGTCGTTCTGTGTGTCGACGTTAGCGCACCGTGAGAGTAATGGATAATTGATCTAAATGCTTACTGTCCAGTGTGGCACAGCGAATGAGGCGTTGACATCAACACCCGCGTCAAGGAGGAGCTTTATGATTTCTCTGTCGCCACGAGCACAAGGCCTCAGCAGGGCGTTAGTATTTCCCACGTTAGCCCCAGCGTCGATAAGCAACCTGCAAGCCTGGATGCCTTTCAAGCCACCCAATTCTGCTGCTATTTCCAACACACTCCGATATGAACCGGGCATGAAGTTAGGGTCCACACCTTGCTGCAAAAGATATTCTATAACTTCGATGTGGCCTTGCTCAACAGCACATCTAAGATAATGAGGAATCAATGGCTTTTCGGAGTCTTCCGTAGTGTTCAGGCCTGCTTCAAATAGCTTCTTGATGATGTCAAGACGGCCATCACACGCCGCCAAGGCGCCTAGTGGTTTAAGTACCAGCCATCCTTTCACATTCAACATGCGATGCAGAAGGGTAGCATCAGTTTCGTTCAGAATATACTTGACCAGGGTTGGGTGATATTGTTCAAACAGCTCCGTTGACATAGCGACAACATGTAAAAGTGCAAAGTGTCTGTTTTGAATAGCCCAAAGAACAAGGGCTTCATCGATAGTCCGATGGTGTTCTTCATACACTGGCGATGAACTTAGTTCATGCCCACACATCAGCATATTCTTCCATAGACTCCATGTTTGACATTGCCCCTGGTCAAAGTTGACCGAGTGTGAGAGCCAATAGGCCGAAGCATATGCAAGAAATGGATGATCAAGAAGTATGGTTTCTTGAACAGTTGCATCGGAAGCTCTTGTATACGAAGCAATAGTTGCATCAATATCAGCAGCTGGTCGCTTGTGACCGTGGATTTTCTGAGAAAGTCTCAGGAGCCTAGGCCAGCTCCACTCATTGCTGAGGGCCTTCTGGCAGATCTGATCAGGGGCTATTGGTGGCAGAGATGCTCGGACTCGGGCTAAAGTTGAATTGAAATCACTGAAGTTCAAGTATGTGACGCAAATTTCTCCGATGTGGCGGTTGGCATCTTGGATGCGAACATGGAACTTCGAAAAGACCGGGTTATCTGATGCGGTGAGAAAGAATTGCTGAACGCAGGCATGGATAGCGTGAACTGTCTTGGTCTCATAGTCAATTTCAACGAGACCTTGGAACCAAGTGTCGATAAAATGAATTCCATTCACATATCGATTTCGAATAGTGTACTCTTGAAGTGGACTTATCAGACAGCATTCCTCGAGTTGGGACAGCGACAGAGGCTGCTTCGCTGCCACTATCCACGGAAGAAGTGCTTGAACGATGCTATCTTTCTCGTCAGAGATTATTCGATCTAGAATCCGGTTAAAGATATCCGTTAGGTTTCTTGGTATATTTTTTAAAGCGATTCCTTCGCGGATCCTTTCGTTGCTTGGCTGGCTGCAGAGGTGTCTAAGGATCAGAGTTACCCAGAGAATCCTAGAACTAGATCAGTTCCTGCCAGTATTAGCGAGATCTTGGAAACATACATGCCGTCAGCGTGCTGTGTGAGAGTGTTCTTAATCTCGGTTATGAGTGTCTGATCGGTGACTAGTAGCTCTTCAGTATCAACACACTTTTGCACAGCTTGATCAACTAGTTGGGCCATGCCATCTCGGGCAAGAGAGCAATTCATAGAAACTTCCTCTAGGTTGGCAGAGACTCCCTTAAAGATAGAAGTCGCATGATCCCGGCTGGTGGTAAACAACCTGGCGTTAGCGCCATTATCAAGCATTGATGTCAACATCTCGATGGCTATTTGGCGTTCTTCTTTTTGACACTCATCTAGACCATCCAGTACAACCCATGACGGTGGACCTTTTCTTGATAGCAGACGGGTCAAGAGCCGAGAAAGTTCCGATGAGACATCTTCCTGGGATTTTTGTATGGTCTCCAAAGCCTGCTTAGTATCACCTGAAACATCCTGGATGGTGATCAACTGCCTAGCTAGAGCTCGTAGAATAGTTTCAGCTCTCATAGACTCTGAGTCGTCAAATCGTGAGAAAAAGAATGTTACACGGCTTTGAGCGCTAGGTCGGTGAGTCAAAAGGTAGTCGATTACACTCGCACTACGGTCGTTAGTGGCAACTCAAGTTCGCGTGTACATACTTACGAGATGATTGACTTTCCCGATCCCACTACGGAATGTTAGAGAGACTAGACCAATAGGAACAAGTAAGACTTACTTTTCCCAGAACACCAGAGTAAACCTGGGGTAGTCCCATTGACCCAGCGTTTAAACTCGCCTGTATCGAAGATCCATTCTGCTGATTTGGGGTATCGCTTCTGACGGGCTTGTTTCAGAGGTTTGATGTAATCATAAGTAGACAAGGAGTCCAGAAGCTTTTGATTGCTTTCTCCTTTTATGTGTTGAGTAAGTAAGTTTCTCTTTTCAAGATGGATACTCACTTTCTGATTCCTGGCTTCTGATAATCTGCAGCCTGTCAAAATCATGGCGCGTGCGGGACATGAAGCGACTTAGCGACCGCCTGGACTGGTCGGCTTGTTCATTCTCTATCCTTTGGAGCTCATTATTCCGATGCTGAGACTGATCTGCTGCAAGTCTAATCTCTTTGTTGACATTCTTACTGTCATCGCGGAGCTTCTGTAAATCAGACTCGAAGGCCTGCTGAAATGACTGCCAGAACGAGGGGTTAAGTGGATTGAGTGGCGAAGTCCACCCACGCGAGCTTTTCGGTATTGCAATGACGTGTCGACAGCACTGGATGATGGAGGCGTTGAAAGTGCACAAGGCATCCTGTAGGCGTTCTGAAGCGGGGAAAAGAGCCTGATATTGCTCGAACCTAGGACAAATCTTGCCGAGTTCCATACATAACTCAACGAAGGCTTCATAATAAGATGCAGCGTTGAGCATGATCTGGTGATGATTAATTATGATGGTATTGCAGGTGTTCAGTCGCATACTTACCGTCATGGTCATCTTCACACTTCCCCAAACAAGAGCTGCAATAGTAGGGTTCGATGAGACAAAGGTATCTATAATAGCCGTAAAACTGTGCACTGCTTGAAGTAGTGGAAATAGACGGCTGGCGATACTTTTGCCCTTCTTGTTTTGTCGTCGAAGGTCTAACTCCGCCGTGAACACAAGAACCGCATCTGTTTCCGGTACAGATCGGATACAGTCGAACTCGGCAAGCTGCTCAGGCGTAAGAACGGTCCGGAATGAATCGATGGCATTTTGCAGGATCTGATCCCCTCTTTTAGGTATGGAGGACGTAGCCGCTTGTGAGGATAGTGTGAGGTCCATCGTGTCTCTATGGTTGAGGACAGTTTGGGATGAGTAAGAGGGGTTGAAAGACTGTCAGACTTGCTTTTCATCTGCATTGCGGAGAATGTGAGGGCTGAAGCTGCTGATGGAGGGTCGGAAGAAATTATTCCGAAGGGAGGCCTGCAGGTAAGAGCATTTTTGTTGAGGACAGCTGAATGACCCGATGTCACCAAACGCACCATAACATCAAAGTGAGCACCAGATAAAGAGATAGAAAGATGGCAACTAACAATTAGTATATAGATAATTTGGAGTAATTTCAATCACCGGTAAGATTTGGTTGTTGGTCATTCTGTAGGAAGTAAACAAAATGCTCGAGATACGCTGAGAGCACCGACGTCAGCGAAAATATCAGCCTGACGAAAGGAGACCAAGATGACTTTGGATTGAGCAGACGAGAACATTCATGATCAGATGATAGATAAGAGTCCAATTTGAATCTCAGGTTGTGTTTGAGTGATGGTAGAGAAAGAGTAGCATAAGATCTATCGCCGATATCTATAACTGACGTGTTGCCATATGGCGAATGTCCAGTATCTGAGTTAGGTGGTGGTTTTTCGCTGGAGCAATAACTTAAGTTAATCGTTGGAGCAATTGAAGTGTAGGTAGGTAACTTCCAGTGTCGCAGGAGCAATGAAATTTGCCAGAGGAGCAGTGCAGATACAGGGTGTCATGCTCTAACCTAGCCTGATCTGGAATGGGAAGCGAAGCGGGGTGAATCTGGGTCCAACGGGTTCAGCCGTCTGCAGGGGTCCGTAGTGGAGATATGCAGCATTGCACAACAGCAAAGCGAAAGTTATGCAGTGAGATTATGAATTGTTTAGCTCTCCTCTCGCTGCACTTCTGGACGAGCCTAGCGAAAAGAGGCTCAACTCCAACTCCAACACCTTAACTAACGATAAAAACTAAAATATCACTCACAAATTCAGCCTTCTCGCGCCAGTCTTCAATAGAGAAGTGATGCACACATCAATTGTGTGATCAAGTTGGAAGGGAAAAAGCACTATATGAAATTAAAATGGCACCACGTAACCTACCCTACATGCTAGGGAAAAGTTCACTCTTGTTCTTCCGAACCAGCGACCTGGCCAAAGGTAGGATTGAGCGCCTAACAATGTAGCAGAGATGAGGGAAGGTTCTTATGGTCGGGTTGAGAGGTCAGGAAATCATGGCCATTGAGTACAACGGACAGATTCGGTGGAGATTGACTGAGGTGAGATGTCACGACATTTTTATTCTCAGATGAATGTTGTATCACAAATGAGAAACGAAAAAATGGAAAAGAATTTCCAACAAGTTACTATGGCTACTATTGTTTATAGAACTTGATTAAATGTGCTCCCAAGAGGGCAGGGCCTGTCGCGCTGCTCGGACAAAATGCTGCAGTGGCTGCCGGAGAGCGCTCGTGGCTTGGGCAACTCAGTGTAAGCGAGTTGGACGTAACTCCAACGGTCAAGGACTTTGCAGAGATATCAAGTCGATGCGAAAATCTTTGCAAGGCTCGTACCCCGACAAACATGCAAAGCATAGGATACGTACTATTTGCGAGATAAGTTGAATGGCCTACCTGGCTATTACGGACAATTTATCTTCTAGCGCCGAGTTTGCTTTTGGCAATAGAGGCTATGTGAGGCCCTCTCTTATCTTTGGCAAAAGGTGTTGGTGCTCGGCGAGGCATCTTGCCTCAATGAATCAAATCCAAAGCATTCATGTCGTGCTTAGTGCTCCCGAAATGGCCGGTGTTTGCTTGGTAAGGTGAGAATAATAGCAAACGGGCCCTCTGCCGCAATGGAACTCTCTCACTCAGCAAGAACATCCGCCTCTCAAGTGACTACTCCCTCCCATGATATTCTTCGCCAACTACTTGCTCAAGTCTACACAGTGTCACTACCATTATCCTCAGTCTACCGGCGTCAGGTACAGCGCCATAATCTTGGACGCCACTATCATCTGCGTCTACAATATCGCATCTGACCAAAAGTTCTCAATGTATCCGCTATATCTCTAGCCAACTATACCGGCGTCTGCAGTAGGCGCCTCTGTCACAACTCGGCTCTTGGCCAGCCTACAGATTCTTACCCCATTTCCTTCAGAACTCTATAGACCCTCGACAAGTGCATCAAATCGGCAAATGTCGAGTTCGAGATAATCTGCTTAGCTCGCTTCATGCCTAAGAAAATCCAGATGCTATCAATCCAATCCAAAGCGTCGGATGCCGCGTATGTACCAGAAAAGTAGGTGTCTAGTAAAATAGTTGCGAAGCTTGTGTAATGTTATATGGACGGTTTGTCAGGCATGGGGCCAAGAAACCCGTGATTGCAGTAGCCAAGAAGATCCAAGAAAGTCCGGAAACATGTTTGCTGTCTACATGTGTAGGGTAGACTGACCTAGAATTTGGCGATCGTATCAGAATGTAGCCAAGGAATCTAGATCTCAATACAGAAGATAAGCAGATCGCTCGCTGGAAGTTAGGCAACGATGCCCATCTCTGAGTATGGAGGAAACAAAGCAAGTGGCCGATTTCAGCCCGATGACAGTTCCTAGCGACCTATTCTCTAGTTCGACTTTATTTAGACCTTTCCGACGGTGATGGCCTCTGGAGACGAACAAAGGTGCATGGAGTTGACTTGATCTAGCGATAGAAGCCCTTCCCCCGAAACAATCTACGCCTCTTGGGACATTCACTGCCTGCACGAGGTCCCAAGGTGAAGGGCCAGGCGTTTGGCACTACTAGCTACAAGACGATAGATGTGTTTGCTTGCCTGATATCCTGCACCCTTTCTTAGTAACCGCCTCTGCTACAACAAGTCGTCTTGCTCTTCATGTGGCTCTGTATATAGCAACTCCTGATGACGTGTGAAACCTGGGATCAGATCCGAGATTAGACTGAGGAATCAAGATCCTCTACGGTGGCATGTCGCGAAGAGTTTGTTCATGGCACTTTGTGACCTCGATCATATTCTCCGTTCCGACACAGCACTTGCCAGCTCGCCAGTCAAAAGCTGATACACGTGAACACTCCGTGCACTGCGGTATTCTATTTGACGTTATAACTGACAACTGTATCTCCAGGCCGTATTTGGGGGTCGTATTGCCCCTAACATTCCTTCTCGGTTCTGGAAATGGTCCTCGTGATGTCAGTATACCTGTAATCTTCCATCTCGCCGTGCAGAGTTCATCCCCGGTAAGCACTTTAAGCCACAGGCGCAAGTCCCGCTGCAATCTTCTTTGTTACTCGACCTGACTTCTTAGTCATACAGACCAGCTATTCTACTTTCAAGACCATTTGCATAACCGTGGCGCTCATTTCTGCCGTGCTGTTGTTACACGAATAAGGTCAAGTCACAGCGCAGACGGATCGTAAACTTGGGCCTGGCGCTGGGCGAGGCCGATAGAATCAACCTGAAACAGTCCCGCGCGGATATTAAGAAGTACTGGGATGGTGAACGCTCTGGGATTTTTAAAACGTATATTTGCCTGTTGAGTTTGTGCGGGATTTAGACGGTGTACTGATGCCGCCTGCTTGATATAGATGATACCTTGTAGGGACCGAGGATCAGTCTTGTAGTAAGAGACATTTTTCGACATAGAATGTAGGGAGAGGAACACCCCCGAGGAAAATTCGAGGCTTCTTAGAACAGCTCGGCCTGAGTGCCGAGGACGCGTTTTCCGCAGCCAGCAATTCCTGGGTAAAGAAAGTGTATCCAATGCCAGGCATAATATGGTAACGAGTGGATATATTTATACTCTGAAGTATCTGCCGCTACACTTGCATGATTTGTCTCTGCACAAGTCAATGTGTCCCATTCGCCTTTGATACTAGTATATTTGGGATGGGCTTTCTCATGCAAAGCAAACCGCTATCCTAGCTGAAGTATTCCCGGCTTATGATGGCTTAGAGTGATTGACCCGCCAGTGGCAGACGGCTGAACGTTGCAATCCCACCGAGCTTTGCAGCTGGTTTGGAGTAGGCCCTCGATCATCACAGATTGTACCCCAAGGCTATCAAGACTGAGAATTCGTGACGTATGAATGAAGAAGCCGGGGCAGTTTCTCTTGGTGGGGGAAGCTGGTCAAGGATGATTGCCTTGGGGGATGGACGGCGTGCTTGGAGGGAAATGCAGTGGGAAATAAGGAGGAGTAGTACGAGGTGGTGTTGTAAAAATATCTGGAGCAGTACGTGAAAGGCAGTCATAGAAGGCCGGTCTACAGGCTTGGCTTTGATTGCGATTGTTCCTGTGGTGCTCTTTCATCACATGGTGTATCCAGATACCGAAAGAACTTCTGGACAGCTGCGAGCCAACAATGGCACTTAGCTGCGGCGCCCCGTGCTAGCTGATCTTGGACAAATTACTAGAGCGCAGAGTTGCAGAGCAGGCGAGGCGTTAATATTAGCACGGGACTACAGTTCTATGAACTGCCGATCAGGCTGGAGTCCGAGACCAAGCGTGGAGCATGAGATGTAGTATTCGAATTGGAGATCGGCACGTGCTTTGCGCGAGTTATGCCTAAAGATGATATGCTGGAAGAGAAGAAGTATATTGGTCAAACCTAGAGTAGTGGTGTAAGGTTTGGATGTAACAGTTATCTAAAATACTGATAGACTTAGATATGCTAGAGTACCGTTAATGCTGGTAGGTTTTATTGTAAGTTTGGTCGGAATGTAAAAGCTGTGTTAATATATATATTCTTTTTATTATAGCGAACTTGCTCTTATGTTGGAGCCGAATTGGTATCTGTCTCTTTGTATGGCTAATAATAAACTCCGTAATGTGGATTTTCGACCTCTGGGGCTGACTACAGATGAACAAAGACTGATGTCTTAAAGTATCCTATTAAAGTGAAGATGCAGATTTTAGGAACTAGCTTATAAGCTTGCCTTTTTCATTCGATATTTGGAAATCCGATTCACGGGATCTGGGGAGAAATTCTTCGATATGCAACTGGCCATAAGGACTGTTTTTTTTAAAGCCAGTTACTACCTCAAATGGCAAGGGCACGGAAGAAAGCTTGTAGATGTATTAGGGAGCTAGGGAGCTGTGACAATAAAATTATCGATCAGCAGAGCACAGGTTGTAAATAGGGAATGCTTTGCCTCAGTTTATTTAACAATTTCTACTGCCAGAGCCGTGAGAAAATTATATAGATACTCCGAAATGCAGACTTGTGAGATCCAGGATCATGTTTTCAGAAGGCTCTTGGATTCTGGGTATCAGATGCCTGATCGCGGAAATCAAGATATCTGGATATGTCCAAGCCCTTGTGAAGATCAAGTCAGTTACAGTCTGATCAAACCCTGAGAAGACCGTTTATGGGATCGATAGAGATCATAGCAATGCTGACGACAGACGGTCTTTACAAGTGGAAATCAACTCCAATTTGAGTATATGACTTCAGGCTGCTCAAGACCATGCTGGGTAAGTGTTTCTGTCGGTAAGACTACTGGGGCCAATGTAGAGTAGACGAAGTCAAGTTGGCCTAGATATTTAATTCTATTAAGCTATAATTGCCAACCTGCTTATTTGTATTTCAAGTAATTAAGGCTCCAAGTTATTAATTCATTAACATAATAGAGTTGTTAGACCTAGAAATTCTTAATTAATAGATAAAATATATATTGGTTAAGATAGGAAGGCAAAGTCAACAGCTTTTGGTCAATCGCGAACCAGCGCTTTTCTTAACCCCCACGATTAGGGAGATTTTGTGTTGGCAAATTCAAGGTCTCTTAAAGATTAGACTCTCATCCTTATGTTCACTGCACGTAATTAACTGGATCTTGCACCTGAGATGACGTGCCAGAACAAACTTCGCAGCCCAGGAGTAAAATTGAGAATAATAATGATCTCTTTACTTAGATTCTATACCTAGAAACGAAGGCACCAACCTCTCTTGTCTTTTCAGTAGTCGAGACGTAACATGACTGGCAAACAGCCTTTAGCGAATTAACGGTCTGTTGACTGTGAAGATTGTTGATCAGCCTCTCGCGAGTATGTCTCAAAAATAGAACCTTGCCCGCTAGCAATTCCCAGTCAACCAAGAACCCTATTTCATTTTACAGTGCTCCTAAAGGCACCTCCCTTGATGAGGTCATCCGTGCGCTTACGCAGCGTGTGGAGGCATCGATAGCAGAACCTAATTAGTTCCTCTATATTGTTAGCCACCGCACAATGGCAATAAGTAGATCCCAACCATAAACAAGTTCCACAGCTTAGAGGTTTTTTTATCTTGAGCAACTGTTCGAAAAACAAGATATCGTGCAGAAACAAGTCCACCTAGTCCCCATATTATCGCAGAGCTAATAGGTGGCGCGCCAACGTAAGCTGGGCAGACAATCGACCAGATGGTCATAAAGAAAGCAATCGAGAAGCGTCCCAAATTGTCACCAACAACCAGCGGTACGGTCTTGCGGTTGCGTGAGGCGTCACCCTCCTGATCATGCATGTCCATTGCGTGAATGGTGGTGAAGACAATGCCAGAAACAATGGCCTCCCAGGCTAGTAGCGACGTACTGGGTGAATGGATACCACGGCTACCAAGTACGACTTGAAGAGCGCCAGTGTTGAAGCATCTATATCCAAAGGAATTGAGAAGATGGCGAGATAAAAGACCCTCAGCCCCCTGGAAATCATTATACCAGACTCCCAGCACTACTAAGGACAAGCACGGTTCAAGTCCACCAATGTAATAGCTGGTGATGATGGCCAGAGCATAAAGAACGACCACAAGGTTCCGAGCTTGATGAGGCGTCATTCGCTTGGAAGGCATAGTTCTCCATGGCTTGTTGATTTGATCTTCAGCAATCGAGCCCGGGTGTCTCTGATTATCGATAGTAAAGGGCAACAAGTTGATCCACAGCCACAAGAGAGCCAAAGGCGCTCGGGGGATAAGGTCGGCCAGAGCAGCGTCTTGCATGCCAAATTTCGATAGCGCTGGAGAGGTACCCAGGGCAAATAGAATACTAGGACCGATAATGGTCTTGAGATCGTTGAATGTAAATAGCCAGATAGAATAGGCATGATATACAACCAGCTGAAGTAGCGGCCACAGATGGAGGCTAATCTCTTGGCGTTGGATGATTCTGTCTTTCACATATTGCCCTTGTCGTAGGGTGCTCCATTTGATTTGTGGCGGAATAGTAAGAGTTTCTTGTTGAGAAGAGAACATGGTTTTGGTGTAGTAACACAAGATTCGTGGAACAGCTAGATTTGGCGATTAGAGAGCCTTGTGCTTAATATCTAAAAAGATTGGCCAAAATTATCTCTTTAGGTAGACAGACGATCTATTTTTAATATTTAAATTCTAACCCGTAGATGCTTGCTGGCATTTGCCAATATATATACACTGTTTATATGACATAAACTTACCATATAGAAAAATGATGTAGATGAAAGTTCATATGGAAAGTTATGACGTAAAGGGCGAGTGGCTCGACATGTTGATCCTTGAGAATGTGATTGCTAAGTGACAAAGCAGAGGATTCCAACAGGTTGACTGAAGGAGGTCAAAGTGAAGCCTGGCCTGTAGCACACCTGCCCAAAGTGCTCCTGCAGACCCCACCCCACTCACGAAATACAGGGCACACTCACTTTGGTCTGACGCAATCTGAAACATCTGACTACGGCACGGGAAATAGTGCAATCTTGGGTGAGCGTAGTTGATTCATTTGAGGCCCTCAACTTCTCGCCACTTGGGGAGATAGATCTTGACATCTCAGCAAAAATAACACATTAGCCTTTTCCCTATTAGGCAGAATAGGTTCTATTTTCCGCTTATCCAAGTATCAACTCTCAATAAATAAACCACTTCATAGATGTTTTAATTAAACATAAAAATCACAATAAAAACCACATTATGTCTCGTTGAACAGAACTGAAGGAGCGTGGCGACGCCCTATCTTACTGGGGCGCAACTTCAGAGCGCAGCATGCGTCATTGAGCCCGCATCACGGTCGCCCCAGAGACATTTCCATGCGTTGTTTCCATTGCTAGTGCGAAGTTGTCGCATGTACTCTCCACTGCGCAAGATATGGTGCCGTGAATTCTGTGGGCCCCACGGACGGCAGCTGGGCCCCTGTCGTGCCTGCCGCCCGCGGCGGTTCCATAGTGGGAAAAGATAATGCACATGAGTGGGGTTTCATAACTGAATCGATCAATAGATGTTCGATTGACGCATAGCTTCTCTCTCAACTGCTGACGCAGGTTGCGTGCCCTCAACGTCAACGGTACTATTTTCTCTTATTCGAAGGCGATGGATCAGCATAACTAACCTTCTATTGAGAAAAAGCCGGAGGAATGACGACGTGCCAGCGCCCTCCACTCACTCGCATTGTCGGCTAGCCTTGACCCTGATCCCAGTTTGTACTTGACGTGGGGTACAACAGGCAGGTTTCAGCATATCTCTGAAGTACATTACTTACTGACAGTCAATAGCTCTCTAGGCCTCATCGCCAAAGCTTAAATGTTCACCTTATATATCCAGTGTATGCTTTTCCCTGCTTAACTACAGTTTAGAGTATGTAAGGCTGCCACGCCAGCTAGGAGCGCATGGTGAATCTTGCAATAACTATATGCTGTGTTACCCTCTTAACAACTGTGCGAGGCTACTTATTTGAGAATCTGTGTGGGGTTTATGTATTATCTCAGACTATAGATGCTGTTTTGTAGAGATATTACGAGAGATCCCTCGATGGCGATAAACGTTTCTAGCGTTTTAGTTACTAATAATATAGAGAGTAATTTTTATTGTATTAATAAAATAAAGAGACGCACAGGATGGCTGTGCTCTCTGTCAAGTTCTTAAGCGCAAGATTAAGGAGACCAACGCGCCACCTCTTGAAGCCCGAAGCTACATAAGAATTAATGCTGTGCCGGGTGTACAGAACTGCTCCGATTGTTGAAGATATTGGAATAGTCAGCTGATGAAGGAATCCAAGACGACTCCCTAAAGTTGAAAATCCAGCCAGGACTCCCCGTATTGCTGCAATCAGGTAACCCGAATCACTTCAAGCTCATTAACAGGTGGCTTCGACTTTGTGACCAAGGCAAATGCGGTCCTATGCATGGATGTTGTCCCTGGTCCAATGTTGCTTTGCCGACCCGGGTCATTGATGTGGGAGAAAGCAGGAATGGCCCCGACACCGTGTGCCTCATCCCATCAAAAAGATATTGACACATAATGGGGGACAAGGGGCACTCCACGTTGCTCTGTCCCATTCCTGGGGCGAGCCACCGAAAGACCAGATACCCGGATGGTGCACTACGTGCAGCAATGAGATGAAGCGGTCGAGTAGATTCCCTATTGAACAATTGCCGGCGACATTTCAAGATGCAAATAGTGTCACTCAAGAGATTGGTAAGTGATACCTCTGGATTGACTCACTTTGTATCTTTCAAGGCGACCAGAAGAATTGGGAAACCGAAGCGAAGAAGATGGAAACAGTCTTCAAGATTGGAGAACCGAAAGGATACTACTGCATTGGTGCGGTCCGAAAACATTATTTGCCTACGCAGATTAAGGAGATTAGACTAGCGATTTATGAACATCTATTCCCCGGGCAAACATAAGGGTGAAGACCCCGCCTGCATCATCTTGGCAGCTTCTCGATGCCAAGTCGTACGCCAGGTGTCATCTGATCATCATACTTTGCGTGCCCAAGGCCGATGAATTTGCATCTAAAGATCTCATTGAAATGAAACGGCAGGGAAGACTCTGACATAAGTGGAGGAAGGCAGAGCTGCGGTACTCCTCACATATTAGTAGCGCCAGGTATCTCTAGGTTTTTCTCATATCCATATCCTCTTTTAAGCCTTTTGTAGTCTAGAAAAGCCAATGACAAAGTAACCGACAGCCCAGGAGGGCAATCGCCGTCTCACCCCACAGACAGGTAGGCAGGCCACGTGATGGAGCAGATATTTCCGTTTTGACCTCGTATATCGATACAAATGACGCGGCTTGCCTGTTTCTGATCGCCTCTTTAGCTCCCGATGCCCACGCCACAGCCTGCTCGTACAATTACTACACTAACACTTGACATGTGATAGACAGAAGTAGCCTATGCTGGCTAATCCTCGTCGTCGAAACTGACAGGACTGAGGCTCTTGAGGTAAAGGAAAATGACTTTATAGTTCGAATTTTACTTATTTGCATATTGGTCAGGCCTAGAGTAGTGATAAAAGGTTTAGATATAACAGTTATTTAAGATACTGATAGACTTAAGATATACTAGAGTATAATAAATACTAACTAATACTGCTATAAGTTTAGTTAAAATGTAAGAGCTATGCCGTTATATATATCCTTCTTGTTATAGTAAACTTGCTCTTTTGTAGGAGCCAAATTGGCATCCGTTTCTTTATATAGGTACTCTAAGGTCCAGTCTCTGTCTCCCTCTCATCGTTCTTAGCTCCTTGACCCGGCCGCTTTTGTTTAGGATCTGATACTATTTCCCCCTGCTTGGGTAACTGATAATATTGCTTGTCGGGTACCACATCCTTGGAACAAGATATCTGCTGACCCTATGGGTAAAGCTGAAGAGGCAGATTGTGGGCCAGCCTTAAATATCGAAACCGGAAAAGGGGCAGCTTGAGGGCGATAAAGCAATGGAGGAATCAAGGAATAGGGCAATAGTCCTGGCGCCAGGTGAGTGATAATATCCCAGGCCGTGCTGGCAGAGCTCTCAGTTAGATGGGCCACATTGGGCGTTGAGGTATGATGTAGTATCGAGAGAGTCGGCGGCTATAGATGAGCTTCTTGTGTGAGCCTTTAAGCAGGCATAATTGGCGATGAGGAAAGAATGGCGGAGCAGGGGGGAAAGCCATGCAGCTTTGTAGCGCCTCGAACGGGAGCGAACCATTGCTAGGGAGAGACCTGGCGATCTAGGTCAAGTAGCAGCAACAGACCTCAGGTTTGAACCTTTCTGACGAGTAACTCGACGACGACCTGCAAAGTCGAGACTTGACAGCGGGCTCGGTCCATGGGAACGGCTTGAAAAGATGCGTTGGGGCTGGGCATACTTCGACACCAGTTTTGGGCCGGGCAATCTTCCACTTTGACGATCAAGTAGGAAGGCATCGGTGCGATGGGGAGGTCTGGACCAAATGAGAGAAGCTTGGGTCTCGGCGTGAGCTCAGCTGTACTCAGTCAACAGGTCTGACTCTTTTATGTTGTTCCTGCTAGCGACCCGACTTGTAGCGGTTCCAGAGGTGGGGGGGAAAAGAGCGCGGAACTCTTATAACGTAGGGCAAGGATATAGGACTCGACATTCATCATATATTTCAGCGGCGCGGTCTTAGCTGATCGAATCATAAAGAGCGCTACATGTGGCTATTTCTTTGGTCTCTTGCGGTTTGCGCGGATCTGGCGGCTATTATACGTTTTTGGTCGTGTCGTATCGTTGGGAATATTTATAGATGCCTATGATTGCTTTGTGGACGAAGTTCGTGAAAGTAGACAGGGCAGTATCGGCGATGTGGATTGGGCGGCATGACCCTATAAAGATTAGCAAACAATGTACAGGGGTGAAAGAAAGCGGCGATAGCGCTTCTAATAACGCCATCTAATAGAGGTGCCTAGATAGACTGACTTACATAAATACTGCCTGCGCTTTATCCTTGACGTTCGTCTGGGGGATGGCAGTGTCTTAACAGGTCCTCAGTACGCGATAATACGTAAGTTAACTGAGCCATGATCGCAATCTGCTCGTAGGCACTCGAAGCGGTTAGGGATGTGTGTGTCGAGTATTGGCAAGAGCCGTCTATTAGATATGGAGATTCCCAATTAATAAATGCAACGCGTGTGGCCAAGACTGGAGAGTAAAGTCAAGGCTGTTGGTCAATCGCGAGCCAGCGCCTGTCAGCTCTTCTCGCAGCCAGACCTCGTTCCTTAGCGAATTGCCTACAGCAGAAAAAGCCAACCAAGATTCTAGGCAATACCTTAGTTTTTAGTTGCGAATGATAACAACAGCCGAAACTGGTACAAAATAAAAGGTTTTACCAGCCTTAGTCATTAGGCAAACAATCAAAATAGTTTTGTTTCATTACAAGTTAATTGTCTCTTGAGGGCAGCAATATAGTCGCCCCTCGTCCTGCGATGCATGCACGCCTCTAGATACATACAGGCGCATCGAGAACGACCTGTCTCAGTGCACATAACCATTAGGCTTGATATCTGATGCAGCCCTATTATCAGACTGCACGATGAACTCAAGAGAGCTAGAGCCGAATGAGAATTGGAGCCCTGAGCTTTTGAGAGCCGATCACATCTCAGACCTAATGCGTAGCACTCTCTTCCATGACTGGTTTTAGAGAAGATTTTGAGGCTCGTTCAGTTGTGGCTGGCTGGACTCTTGTCAGCTTGGTGCCATGCTTCCGTCAAAAGACGGAGATGTAGGTAAACTCCACTGTATGTCTTTGGATAAGGCAGCAGGTATGAGGAAAAGAAAAGAAAAAGAGGGGGCGGGGGCTTGGTCAGTTGATCAACGGAGTCGAGAAGGAGGAATGAGCTAGGCATACTACTACTGTTCGAACCGCATATAAAGGAAGGCAGACTGAGGCGAAGTAAGCTGAAAAACTGCCTATTTAATAGAAATAGATTTAGTTTATTAGTTACTAAATGACGCAAAGGATGTCATTAGGCCACATAATATTGAAACTGCCAATAACGCCACAATTCGTAATAGTGGCTGCCTAGGGAGCCGCACTTCGCGCCTTTTAGCTCCCCTGTCTCATAATGCAACTGACTGGCTGAGTCAACGCAACGCATCGACAGTGGATACTCAACATGGCTTATACAGTCGTTGTATGTTATCCAAGAAGAAGCACTTTCATGCATCAACAATCACTCCAATCTATCATTATCCGTCAACCATCAGCACATCTCATGATGTCTTGAGTCGCATTGCCTGGCAGACTATGGAATCTGATGTGGCTTGGCTTTTTCAGCTCTCTATGATTGTGGTGGGCTGAAAGTGGATAGCTAAGTGAAAAAACTATTGGAACTTTATCAATGTATTGCATACTATATTTCTTTCCCTTGTAAATTCTCCTTACCTCAATGCCACTCCATAGTACATCTCAGGAGTGGAGGCTGACTGAATCTATTGGGACATGCATTAGTCCAGGCCAAGACTTTATACCATAAATAGATAGTGGCGATCTTAGGCATTATGCCTGATCCGGCTGCATCCCTTGCTGCTTTTATTTTCCTTCTGGATTATAGGAGGAAACAGCTCGTGCCAACAAGGCTGCAATATACACAAATAATAGAAGAGGACGGGAAAATAAACGTATTCTTAATACGCTCTTGCTAATCCCAATAATAAGTTATAAGTAGTTGTAATTGCCTGAATCCCCAATCCTTGACCAATCACATATCCCACCATACATGCATTAACAGTTCTTTGGCTTTCTTTCTGCCCGAGCATCGCGCGGAGCGGGGTTGTGAGACATGCAAGATTATTGTAAGATACTCAATTGTCAGGCCAGTCAAGCACGGCTGTTCTCGAGGTATCCGGTATCAGCTATCAGTTATGACAGAATCCAATTCTAAGCGTAAAGAGTAAGTAGTTGGATTGGCGGCACAAGCTGTTATCCCTGCATCCCCTTACAGCATTGAGTTATCTGATTCTGAATCGGCTCACCTTGGCATAGATTCTTTAGTGATATATATGAAAACCAAATGTCGCACCAAGCGGCACGCTCATAATACCCTACCTAGCAAAATAAGCCTAGACATCTAATCGTGCTTTACTGAAGTTTTAGTTTTCGATACCGAAGTCAGCGAGCTGCTCCCATACGGTGATACAACGTACACTTGATATATCTATAGACCGTAAGACTGTGGTCGAGAGTAGAATGTAGTTCTATAAGAGTAATAATGGTGAGGGTGAGGAAACACGATGGATCTGGCTCGGTTGTGTTTATTCTTACATTTATTATGCAAGTACCTGTGACATATAAGTGGCGTAACCGCTGATATCGTAACGGCCTAATTTATCCCTTGGAAATTACAACTATTACTAGTAAGTTCTTGGTATTCCGTAATAAGACGGAGATGCTTAGGCTGGGCTTAAGAATACGAAGTAAAATAATACAGTGGCGTATGCAAGGGGTATGATACTTGATTATTATATAAGTACATATTAAATTATTGAATTATGCACTATATTACTAAATTATAAATACCAAGTTGCCGACACTAAAGACGAAGCCATCTTATCTTAATCTCTATCTATCTACTACCATGAACCGTTTCCTTATTACTTATACTACTTTACTTACTATAGCCCAGGCTCAACTTTCATATGAAGCTCCAGCCTGTGCTATTCCATGCATTGATCGTTACCTTACTTCCACTACTTGCCGATCTTCTGTCAACATCATAAGTTGCATATGCCGAGATAGGTCTGCGGCTGCTGTTGAATTGACAAATTGTGTATTCGATGCTCAGCGTTGTTCTCCCTATGACCTAGCTGCGTTTTCAGAAGGTCTGGTCCAACTATGTCCAGAAATCTTCAGCTCTCAAGCTGCTCCGAGGTAAGATTTAACTCTATAGATAATAACCTTATAAAGGAGTTACTAAATTATATAGCATACAATCAACTACAGGCAGTCTGCAACAAACTACAAGCGGGGCTATTACTGAAGCATCTACTAGTTTAACAACCCCTTCTAAAGAGACAACTCTTAATACAGACAAAGAATCAAAAGCTTTTAAGGATTTACTTAATATTACATATATTTTAGTAATAGGCTTATGTATTATTTAGGTAAATATCTATACTAAAGCTAATATATAATATATTAAATTTATGGATTTATTAGTAAATTATATAGTTAAAGCTTAATAAGTAAACCTATTCTATCCTAACATCCTGGCGGATATAGCTCTGAATCTATTTGCACTTCTAGAGTTAAAAAACAGAAAAAGAGGCGCTAATAAAATAATGACCTAAATCTATTTAAACTAAACGGATTCAGGTCACCTATAGGATTTTATCAGTAGAATGCATTTCAAGTAGATGCATCGATTTATTACATTAAGGCGAGTTTTAAATCTAGATTACCAGCCTGGAAGAGCTAGCCTAGTAGTCAACATCTCCCACGGCCTGGTTGCAAGACACTTCGCCAAATAATCCCACCGAATATCGCAGCTTACAGTGGCCAACTTACTCGGACGGTGCGGCGACGTACAAACAAACTCCGCAATACAATAAAGTAGCCTGCGAACCACTCTTGCGAACAACGCTGAACTTGCCGAGCGCGTTTGACCGGGCACATCTGGAGTCCTTTCAATTAAGGCAGAACGATCGAATTTGACAAAGCCTGACAGGGCGGCAATGCTGGACTATAACGAAGGCGCTGGGGAGCGAGCAACAATTATGCCGCCATGTTGGGGTCCGGCATCCATCACTTGTTCCTTATGCAGAGTACCGAGATCAGGTAGCGATTTATAAGCATCATACCTCCTAAACAAATACGAGAAAGGAGACCCGCCTGTATTATCTTGGCTGCTACATCACCACAACAAAGATGCCAAGTCGTTTCAGTCGTCTGAATATTCATGATAAATTACGATCCTCGAGCCGCTGAGTTTACAACCGAAGAACTTGTTTGAACGAAATGGTTGGGGCGATTCTTACATGGATGGAGGTTGAGAGGGCTGCGTCGTTCTCACATGTCAGTAGTGCCAGGCATCTCTGCGCTTATCTCGTGTCCACATCCATCGTTCTTTTTAACCTTTCATAGAACAACCAATGACAAAATCGCCGAAAGCCGAGAAGGGCAATCAAAGTTCTCACCCACAGACAGGCCACGTAGTGGAGCAGTGTGTCTGGACCCTGTGGATCGAGGCAAATGACGCAGCGTACCATCGCCTCTTTAGCTCCTTACGCCCATTCATCCTACAGCCCACTCGTAAAATCGCCTAGCAGTCTTGCCATACATTAGGCAGCAGTGGCCTCCGGTTGCTCAAACCGGTCATGGCCAACATTCTGTATCTCTTTGTGCCTATTATCGCATTACAGAATGTATTGCACCATTCTGGCTGCTCCTCACCGTCGAACCTGATAGGGCTGAGGTAGGGAAGGTGACCTTTTGACGCCAGCTTGTAGTCATCTGCCAGCCAGCAGCTTGGAACGCTTCAAATTTCGATCTCGATGCAGAGCTCCGTAGCCCGGCGAGCATCATGCGGGGCCGACCGCCGAGGTTCTCAGGTTTGGACAAAGGCAGATTGTTGCTGTTTCTCCCGGCCTGGCTTTTTGCTGGTCGGTTGAGGACCGCGATCCCGCCTTCCGATCTTCGGGGATCCTCCACAACTGCATAGCTTGAAAGAAGTGGGGTGAATGACAATAGTGCCGGTTCAAGTGATCGATGATATAGGTAGAATGTTTAATTCCGCGAAACAAAGGTACCGAAGCTCGTAATACACAGCTCTTGCTTCACACACATGAAACTGGCATGTAAGTCAAGATGACCCCAAACGGAGAGACTGTGCTGGTGGTGTTAGCGTTCACCAGGCGCAGTGAGCGATTTAAATGTCTGTCTTGGTGGCTATAACCTGTAGTAAACCAGGCAATAGAAGCATTGGGATTTATCGTGAGGAGGTACAAAACGCAAGTCTATCGCCTAGTTCAGTGGTGTTAGTGTCTACTATACCTTACCCTCTTATCCAACATTGAGCAGAACTACTCGCTTCAATGCGTGCTTGAGGGAGTAGCCATCTACTCCCTCCAGGTGGACGCCGATTTGTTGTTGGGTATTAAGAAGAGCGTGTGCTGTAAACAGCATAAGACAACTGACAGGCAGGTGGATAAATGTATAGATTTGATTTACCGCCCACTAGTCATGAAGCAGTGATGGGGGCAAGACTTTTTATTATGTGCAACTGCGCATAGGAACTTAGCAGAGTCTAGGCAGCGGACGTTACAAGGTAAGACCAGTAAGTGGCTTCGGATTTGTTACCGCAGGACATACCCGTCAGCAGTCTTCCTAATAAAGTCAGGCATAAGATGCTCCATGGTGCTGGAAAGCGTTCGCCTGTTGGAAATGAAACAGTGCCAATGGCTGCCGGTGACATTGGAGCTCCCCGAAGTGTCTGACTAGGAGAGAGAAGTACTCGAATCCATTACCAAATTGGCAGTCAAAAATGATACCCAGTGTCTCAACGTCAAACCCTGTTCTGGGCCGTGAGTTGTGTCATTAGTGGACCTGTTGGAGGGCTGGACATGTTGCCTCTTGCACTCGGCGTATTAATTTGACTCAGTGATCAAATCTAGAAACAAGGTGCCAAACGATGCCACGATCTCGAATTTGAGAGGCGTATTCGTCGAGTTTTGTTTTGACAAAGGAATTATCCAACCAATAGACCTCTCAGATCAAGTGGCGCAATCTGTCGAAGGTCCGCCACTACTACAAACGCTGTGGGGGATGTTCACAGATGCAAAGCGTCCTCTCTCAGTCTCATTTCTACATCAGATCGTTGTCTTGCTCAACTCCCTCTAGTTATTCAGATTCTGAAAGCCAACTGTGCTCAGACTTTGTGACGACTATGACAAGTTTAACTCGTAATAGCCGTTCTCAAGATGTTCCAGTCTCATGGAGGGCACGAGAAGTATCAACCTTAAACCCAAAGATGCCGCGCCGTCTCCCACATCACCGCTACCGTTGATAAGCTGCAAGTGCATGTTCACGGCCAGAAATAGCCACGATAGCCCAGCTGTGAAAATAGAACGATCCAGCGTGGTTCAGTACTTCTCGTGTCATCCATAAAGTATGAAGGGCGGTGTCATACATACAGAACATAGGCGGTTCATGTTTCTGTGGATACGCTGACTTGCGCCACTATCATAGGATCAGTTCGCCACATCTATTGCAGGAAGAATCCGTCAAACGTTTGCAACGCGGCCCGGAAGCCTAGGTCACGAGTAGTCGGAGGGATACCCTCACCTAGGAGACATCAATACCCGTAGCATTTCGGCAGTGCGTTTTTACCATACTTTCAGACCTTCATAGAGCGATGTGAACAAAAAGTTATCACCGGCTACATTGCGATGGGCGTCCGTATCACAAAGCTCGAAAGCCAGTCTCTTAGATTCACCAGGTGAAGACCACCAGCCTCGGCCGGATGAAAGATGGAACCACACTCCGACAAGAGTTGATCAGGGCCACAAACATCCTGCCAAGCTCCTTTGCACCTCTCGTGTCAGAAATGGGGTCACTTTCGTGGGTGCGATGATGTAGCCTTCCTCTCTTACCAGCGCTATCTTAAGGATGCTGTTATTCAGCAGACAGACTTGGACGTCCTCGCTTCTGACCCTGAGCGGACGCTTGAATGTCGATGACGTGAGTCGAACCCTTATGTTGTCTAACATAACTTTTGCAGTAATCTTTATGTGTCCTCCATTGCCCCAAAACATCGACTTTTGCAGTGGAGCCCGATCTGGCTGGCTTGCGAGATGATGAAGACAGCCGCATACGATGGAATCGATAGTCATTGGGCGAGTCATGCAATATTGTCCATAGCAGAGCCTTTTGTATGACTTTATAGTGCCCGAACTTGGACTCTGAGGCATGGGTGCACTGTAAACTTCCTGGTCAACAAGGAGCGCTCTCAGGGTAAGGCACTCAAGGGACCGTGCATCAATCTCAATCCGGCTGGACAGCTGTTATGAGCTTTTCCGCGTCACAAAACACCCTCAGGTGGAATGTATTCCATGGGGAGGGGTGCGAAGATGATGGCCTGTCGGAGAAGGAGAATGGCTTGACTGAACGTTTGACTGTGAACCTTGCCACCATGCAACTCGCAGGATTTATTGAGCCAATACCAGCGCAACAGCCCCGGCAGGATGCAGCTTATTGATCCTCTAAAGGTTCTCCAACATTACCGAGCATCAATGTCCCAAAACCCCTCTTGCGCTCCTATCCTGAGTTTATCCATCCACAGATGCCGAACATCGACGTGTGAGTTGTCTTGGACTTTGATGACGTGCCTTCTAGAGGCAGGATCACGATCGAAAGTCGCGGCGCTTGCTGTACCTTCTCTTTGAGGGACAATGTCTGCAGCATCTGTCATGTCGGCGGTGGAGAGGTGATTGCAGGCTTGGATTGTTATGCGAATTCGATAGGGTAATGAAGCGTGTCACTTGCAGCAAGTGAGGAAGGTGTTTAGAAGATGTAGGTTTTGTTTGGCAGGTATTCTAATCCTCGAGATAGCATTAGCAAGTTGACTGGCTGATGGATAACTCCCGAAGTTAAGACAAGAACTGGTAGGAATAAAGCGGCTCCCGGGTCTTCAAGATGAACGCTCATCGGCAATCTTGCTCGTAGTTACAAAGTGAGACATCGTCTTGGAGACAGGTCCAGCTTCTTGATCAAGGAGCTGAAGTTAGTGCGCTCCATCAGGCCAAAGTCAGTGGCTGTGTCCTGTAAAAACGCAACAAGAACCAGTTTAGTCGCTCAAACAGCCGATTCGAGCCATGTATATTAATCGTAACTATGGATGAAATAAGAAGGATGAAAGTGTATTGGCGACAAATGAGTACACGGTTTGGGCAAGGGAGCAAGAAGAGCCTTGCACTTAGTGGGCATGGTTTGACGTGGGTGTCGACTTGTAGGTAAGCTCAGTTGCAACAGCAATACCCACAGCAAGGCAGATCATGAAGCTTTTCAAAAGAAACAGTGGTCTAGTCCAGCCGAGCCAGTCGCTGTTGGATGCTGCCGACCATTCATTGTCGCACGAACTAAGATAAGAAACATAATGATGCTTGGTGAGGCAGAGAATCACGATTCGCAAGGCCAAAGATAGAAACTTATCGTCAGAGATCTGGTCTATTACTAGTACAACAGCATGAGATGGCGACGCATGCCATTCACATATCGTAATTTGCTCAATTCTAACACAGACGGCTGGCAGCAGACATTACAAGCGCACGCACGAATCTTGGAAGCGAGAAGGACTTCGCCAAAGGCATGAAATAACCGGCGTCGCCAAAGACAAGTGCGTCTCCAAGTCAGGGGCGTTCAGCTTAGCAGGGTGTGATCATAGCTATGTGAACTCCCACCGGTTCTAGACACACCGACGCTTATTGAGTCGATTCTGTAGTACTCACAAGCATCTCATCTTCATCGGAGACTTGTAAGTTGAAGAGTATCGAGGCCGGTTCGGGGTTTACCTGGAATTTGAGTGTCAATTGATGTTTTTGCAGTACTCTTCTCTTGCGCGTTAGCAGTAGAGCGATCGAGTCGCCATTCCATAGCATCAAGTTTGCTGCCCACTTCGACGAATGTTAGCAGATCTTAAGGCCATGCTTGCTATACCATCTACTATCGAAAATGTCTGGTGGCTTGGATAGCTGTGTTGGAGCAAGGCTGGGGTAAGTCACGTTGTGCAATGCATTCATTTCGCGACTTTAGGGTATGAGATTGGTTGCATGATCTGAGACGGCTATCGCCAAGGTTCGCGGATGTAGAACGACATGCTCCATTTGGAGATTGATATTCCAGAAGTTGTCGTAGCGGTCACGGCGGCAACGGTGGTTGCGGAAGTCATCGCCATGCCAGAAGAACTGTTGGCGAAGGAGCTGACATAGGATTCGTTGACAGTACGTTGCACTCGCCAGTCACGCTGTCTCCAGTCCTGAGATGGTCAGCTGAGGGGCCAAGAACAATGACGTCGCTGGCAGGAGCCAAACAGCATGGCAGCCTCGAGGTTCTTGTGATTGATTGTTGCACTAATGATACTCTTGTTGCGGATTGAACGAGCGTCATGAAACTTGTCGAGTATCCTCAAACTTGAGTTTGCGGCCCGTCATCAGTATGACGCGGGAGTGGCTGATGGCCTGGAAAAGAATTGTGGTGTCCAGAGTAGACGCGCCCAGATTCGCATTTCTACACAGAAGAAGTGGCCAAGTTGCGACACAAGCGCTTTCCATGAGGCCAGAATGGCTGAGAAATCAGGAGGCGGTTCCCTTCACTGCCAAGAGAGTCGATATTGTCGATGATGGCAAAGATGATTTGCATGGGTAAGGCGAGGCCTGGGCACACCTCTATACATTCGAAGCGGCCCTGGGGCTAATCCCGTACCAAGGTTCCAAGGTGAGCATCTTGTTCAGACTGGGCCTACGCCAATAAGCCAAAGACATCTAAGGCCACACTTGGGTTTCGCGGTGCGTCGTGTTGCCGATCAAACACATGGGTAAATATTTGCGGGGAGCTGGCGAGAAGTCGCTTTAGCAGCATGACGTCGAGGGTGGGTGGTTTAACGGGAAGTAAGACAGTGTTCCACAATGCGATAGATGCAGGAGATGATCAAGATAGCTTGCCTTATGGTTGGGACATGCGGATATCGACGTTTGTCTTCGGTGACTTGATGTAGTTGCGAGAGGAGCTCGAAAGCAGGCGAGAAAGCCGAGAGATATTTCAAGGCAGTGCCCCTGTCCCTATTGCTGATTGATGAGCGTCGACTCGCTAGTGATGGATCCGGTCACTGTCACTCTTTGTAGAAGAGAATGGTCAAAACAGACGCATGGCGAAAAGCCTTCTTGTTTCCGGTTGTCATTCGGGCGGCGACCGTGATGGCGCGTGGCAATGGTTCTGGTGGGTTGACTTTATCGACAATGGCGCCTACTGCGGTGTAAGGGTGGCAATGGATTCGGTCGGCGATGCTCGGTCAATGTGTAAGTTGGCAGAATAATAGTTGATAAGTCCTGGTATGCTGCAGAAGCTCTGTTGTTGATGGCACATGTCTCCAGAGGGTTGCGGTCGATGCGGGATGCGAGGCTCATCTGCGTGGGATCCGCGATGGCAAAAGGGTGAACCATTTGTCCAGAGTTGCTCCTGGGCACGAAAGCTTGTCACCTGGACGAAAACTTAGCATTGAGGCGAGTTGACGGAGGTCCACAGAGACCACCAGGCCTTGGTGCTATTTCTACAGTTCAGCAGAGCACCATCAATCACCCGTCTATCTTGAAGGGCTTCCATATACTGATCCAAAGGTTGACGTCGATGACGTTTACCTTACATCGGGGAAAGCTGATTGAGTATCTGAGGAAGAGTGCCACAGGGTTCGCTGGTGCCTGGCTATAGACCAGGTCCTCGGTGTTTTTGGCGAAAATTCGGTAGCTCTTGTCGTAACATGCTTCTCGCAGAGACGTTTAGTGGCATTGGACCTAAAACGAGGTGGCGGTGTTACCGTGCGAGGGGATGATGGATTTGTGAGGGCATTGGAACATTGTGAAATTTGTTGTCGGGGCTATCGATCTGATCGACGAAGGTTGTGGTGTTGCAAGGCTCAGTGAGTGGGAGATCCTGAGGAAAGGAACGACAGAGAAGATGGCCGTCATTCAGTCGGCAAGTTTCTTGCTGATCTTGGCGATGAGCAGAGTACCGGCCAGTACCGTACCATCACCGAGAGAGTAGATGATCTGAACGATGCGACTGCGTTCACTGCAACCTGAGCCTTCATTGTCTTCATTGCAGCCGTCTCCGTCGATGACGCTTAGCTCTCTTTACCTCGGATTCCTTGACTGGCTCGTGGTCGGTCGCAGGAGACACATGTTTGTGGAGGGAGGCAAGAACGCCAATGATAAGAGATCGTGGGATATGTCTTGACCCTTCTATTGCGGTCCTCGGCAGGAACTTCGATAGGAGCTTGAGGAAACTCAACTTGGTTGTCGAGTTTGTTCTTGTCGAGAGCAGGTCGTTCAGCATCAGGCATCTTTGAGGGTACAAAAAGCTTAGCAAGGACTGAGGCATCATCCAATCTGGTGAGCTGGCACTATTTCTTTGCTTATTGGGTAATACGGCTGTGACTCCTGCTCCTCCCCTGATGTTGAACAGAGCGCTTCAGGTGTGATGTTGACCGAGACGGGGTAGAGTGCTTGCGACAGCCAGACCCTGACTTGGTCGTTGAACAGGGCGACTTAGCTGACGCATGGGTATGGAGTAACGAATCGCAAGACCCTGGGTCGACGGTAAATCGTTCGGGTCGCGCCTACAATGTCGGTAGCGACGCTGGTTTCGGAGCTTTGGTCGTCTTGGAGGGAATGACGGTGCAAGTGAGAGGCCAGGCCTTTTAATTCGCGACTTATCGGAAAGAGGGATGATCGTCAAACGTGTGCTGTCGATAGCGGCCTTTAATGCTGCGTTTGGGGTTGCAGTTGTGGACAGATGATTGCTTGCGAAAATTCGTTCGTGACAGAAGATTGCCGAATCTGCTACAAGACGAATTAGTTTTGTTTAGCAGCCTGCCAACTTGGTTGAGTTGAATGCACAAGGCGAAGCTCAATCGCAGACAAGCTGTGAGGATGGTAGCTCCATTTCAGTTGCTTGCCTCAGATTCATGGCTCCAGAAGTGGCCGCGACAGCTCTGCTCTCCAACACACGCACCTTGGGCAGTCACATGGCTCGCGACAGTCAGGCTTTGACGTACAGAGAAGAAAGAGAGACCATAAAACTCTCCAGCGCCGACATGTTTGATCAAAATGCCTTGCCTGGTGGAATACTGTATTTCGTTCCTCGCCTCTTCTCATCAGACTTGGTGATCCTGAGTTACGCGATTTCTGGCGCTTCAAGAGTATCCATATCTCTCGCCAATGTCGGAGGGACTGGGTCAGATGCTTGTTCCAACGAGACGCCTGGAAAGCAGGCCAAGTCAGAGCCAGAATGTATTATCGGCTGAGCGGGTGACACGCCAGCAAATGCAGTCGCTAGTGAAAGCGCGGAAGTTGCTGAGCGACGCTTTGAGGGACGTGGGCGAAATCGAGGACGGCGGCAGTATATAGCCGCTGGATTGGCGAGCCGTTGTCGTCATCCAGAAATCAGATCGGTTCTCTCAGTATAGGACAGTCGTAGCAATCGTGTTTGCATCGTCTCAGGCGCGTACGCGATGTTGGAAAAGGTGCGAATGTTTCGGGCTGTATAACCGAGGGGCGCGTTGGATCGTGGGGCAGGATCATCTACAGCCGTCGACTTGCGCGCAGAGTCCGTAGCAGCCATGGCGTTTCCGTGGATGAACTGGCGACAGCGACGCGTGCGAGCGTTAGATAACGGGCTCGAGTTGAAGCGATGAATCGAAATGGCAGAAGATGGAGATGGAGATGGAGATAAGATGGAGGGGTCGTCGGCTCCACTGTAGCTAAACCCCACACGTACCAGTCCCAGTGCAGTTCTAGCGCGGTGTCCCCTACACCCGCTAGCTTCACAACCCCCCATGGATGTGATATCAGCGATACCCTCAGCTTCCCCTTCTCCCAGCAGCGAACTCACCTACACCATGGAGAAAAAGCTCAGAAGGGTTTCCAAAGCCTGTGACTTCTGCCACAGACGAGCTCGCAAATGCAAGCTACCATCGGCTGAGGGATCGCTCTCATGCCTGACATGCCTCGAGCACGACGTGCCCTGCACATGGACCCGGGTCACGGCCAAGCGAGGTGTCAAGCCTCGATCGGGTAGATTGGCCCAGCAGAACACGAATCAATCTTGTGGTGTTGGTCCGTGGATCTACGATCAGCGGATTCACGGCTCAAGGGATACTATCCGCGCACTTATAGACACATTCTTCCAGACCGTGTATCCCGTGTATGCTTATCTATGCAGTGCATCCTGCGTTATCTGACTGTATTTGTGTAGATTGTGCTGATTACCGTGCCATTTCTTCAGGTTTCCCATATTTGATCAGCAACCACTTCTTCTCGAGTGGCACAGATCTGACCTTTCCTCGGACCGCTGCTCGTTCTCTTATCTGATGGGTCTATGTGCTCTCAGTCTGTCTCATATCAAGGACGGTGCAGTACTGCCGTCTCGAGAAGAGACATTCACCACGGCCCCTCTAGCGACAGGACTTCTTCCCGTGTTTATAGACAACGCCGAGCATAGCATCCCGGCCGATGTTCGCGGTCAAGACGCCTTCAGATACCTCCCGACCATCGCGTCCCTCGTCCTGGTTGCCTTCCAAACCAGGCACTCCTCTCTTCACCACCGCTACCTGGGTCTCTTCCACAGCCTCATAGCAGAACAGAACCTACACGAGGAAGTCAACTGGCCGTCAGAGCTCACAGAGCCAGATAGGCAGAGATATCGGCGCGTCTTCTGGTCCATGTATCGCCTGGAAGTCCACTCGGCCTTGGTCATGGGCCATGTGATTCGTTGCCCTGAGCAGCAGACCATGGTTGTATATCCCAGCGATGGTTCGGAGGACTCACAGCCCACAGATGGAAACTGGCTCATCGGTTGGAACTTCGTGACGGACCTGTACCGATCGCTCGAGCATGTCATCAACCACTACCGAGTGAAACGGGCCGGCCGGACGGTGGCAGACGCCTACAGCTCTCGTCTCCCACCGCGAGAACCACCAGCTCTCAACATCGATTCAATACTGTCTGCGCTTCAAGATGGGTTGGAGTCCCTTCCAAGCGACATGTTGACCGCCCTGCCGCCTTCTGCCAATGCCAAGGAGAATCTTTGCGGGTTTCAAGTGGCCAATATTGTCTGTACAAGCCAGGCGCGTTTTCCCACACCATAGAGAGGGAGATCCCGTCTACGAACTTTCTGCTAACGACCTACATAGCTGCTGAAAACATTGTGTTTTGCCTGCGACCCCATGACCTTTAGTTCGGCCTGTGCCGCAGCTCAGCAGATGATCGACAGCATCTCCAAGGTTCCAAGTGCATATCTTCGAGCCATTGGTTCTTGTATGGTCAGTACTATCAAGTCTCGCTACGCAAGCCAGTGGCCTTGTAACTGAACTATTTCATCTGCACTTGTAGTTCCAAGAACTTTCTGGAGTTGGGCACCTGCTCAGCGGATTCATCGCCCGGCCTCTTCTGTGGACGGAATACCAAGAGCTTCGCAACCTAATGTTAGTCTTGCCCTTTTATGACTACGTTGAGTACCTTTCATCTTAACCCTGCCACAGTGTGTCAATGTCTACCTTCCTGCGGGAAATGGACAATTCAACGGCGAGTGCGGCAAGTCTACTGCTTTCACGGCATGTTGATCGCATCGATGGGCATATTGAGATAATGCGTTCCAGCTATCTGGACGACTCGCAACCTCAAGATGACTGTCCCTATGTCGTACCATCTCTCGATTGGTTGCAGACGTTTCCCTGGTCAGACAGCCTCGACACGGATGAGCTGAAAAGTCTAGGCTTGATTTCATGAGGTCAACGCTCGCACGGCAATCCTCTTATTGCACAGCCTAATTGTCCGTTCACTCTCTGGCTAGAACTGCTATACCGGCCTCCACGCCGTCGATTATGCGGACTCGAGGTGGCAGGACGGCCTGAATGCCTCTCCGAAGACTGGCCATCCCTGCACATCCCAGGATGATGCTCGTGGCCCCGGCATCCACAAGTTCCTGGGCTGATCGCCGGAAGATCTGTACGACATGACTTTCCGGGAGACTCTCCAGGTCCAACACACCAAGCCTCGCTGCACGCACACCCACGCAATGAGCCCCGTAGCCCAGCTCCCGAACAGACTCCTGCAAAACTGGCTCCCAGGCCGCCGTTGTCGTTACTATCCCGAACCGCTCACTCTCCGTCTCCATGGTTGGCACAGCCATCATGAGCGCGGCTTGGAAAATGCCCGTGACTGGCGTGCTCGTCTGTCGTCGAAGAGCGTACACTAGCGGGTGGTCTGAGAAGCAGCACGTAAGGATGCCGTCGTATTGGCGGGTGGCAAGGAAGTCGGTCACTCTGGGCAGCATAGCCGCAGACGACTCTACGGCTTGTTCGTGGTTCTCGATACACGGGGGGCAAGTTGTCAGTCCACTGCCATCTATGAAGTCGAGCTGGATCTGTGCTGTCGATGTGTAGATGGCTGCAAGGCTCTGCGTTATCCCGGTTGTCGAGATGGGGATGATGCAGAGCAGCTTCTTTGGAGGCATGGCGTCAGATCGCTTTCAAATGATGTCTGTACTATTCACATCGGTCAGTAATTTGATATTGGTTCAGATTTGCGCCACTATCTTATACCGACGAGCTTATCAGACTAAAGTTAATGATACCTATTTACCAATTTTGCCGCCGCTAATAAACCTTCGCCATGGGTAAGTTTAGCTTAGGCCTTGAAAACACTACGCTGGTTTTCCTAGCGAATAGTTTAATCGGTTTGTCACTTGCTACGATGACAGACCTTTGGAGCACGAGAGCATGGGTTTCCACTTCCAGCTGCGTGTCCCGATCTTTGAATCACGAAGCAAACGGCACTTATTTATGAGTCGGTTGTCTTTTGGCCCTGAAATGTAATAAAACTGGACTGGTTGCGTGTTCACAGAGAGTTCTACTACTCAAATCTAGACTGCCCGGTTCATCTCCTCCGAAGAAAGTACAGCCTGGTCCTTCTTAGCTAGACTACCATTGCCCGAAACAACCTCGCCTTCCAGCACGGAAACAGAGTCATTGGCCAATCCAAAGGTATCGAAGTAATCTGCATCGTCAACAGCCTGGGGCTGCGGCACAGGGAACGCACGAGCGAGCAGATAGTAGAACAGCATGGCGAGAAAGCAGCCGAGGGGCCAGGACATGTAGTACAGGTGCGACCACCCGCTCCATTCTGCCGTAGGATCCTGCACGCGGCGAACAAAGCCGGGGAGAAGTAGCCAGGTCGCGGCGACCCAGGCCACAGGGGCACGCCAGTTGACCCCGAACCAGTACCAATAGATACTGGTGCTGGACGCATCGTACAGACCGGTCAGCATGAGCCGACGTTGCCGCACCATATAGTAGTCCGAGAACATGATGCCCGTCATGGATCCGAGGAAGACGCCGTACCCGCCCATGACGGTAAGGAAGTTGCTCGCACCATTCATGAGCTCCCAAGGCTGCATGACGAAAGCAAAGACCGCAGTGAGGTAGCCCCCGCGGCGAAGGTTGAAGTAACGCGGCAGCAGAGCCGAGAGGTCAATCCCGTTGGACAGCGCGTTCTCGGCAACAGAGATGCCAAACTGCGCCACGACAAAAGCCAGGCTAGCAAAGGCCACGGCAACTCGCGCGCGGGGGGAATCCTCGAAATGGGCCTGCATGGTGGCCAGCAAGCGGTACGGCTCCCACAGTAACGTGCCATTGGTCTCGGGGAAGAGCTGGGAGGCGCAGGAGGTGCACAGGATGCCGATCAGAGCGACTGAGACGGTGCTCAGGGGCACAAAGAGCAGCTGCGAGAGGAACTGGTCCCCAGGGCGGCGCGCGAAGCGGGTGAAGTCAGACTGGCTGAAGATGTGGGTGCTGATACCACCGATGTTGGTGCAGATACCGAGGACCAGCATCCACCCGAGGTGGCTCCCCTTGGCCTGCTCAACGCCGGCGACCGAGATATTGGAGACCAGGGGCCCGGCTCCGCGAGCTTGCGCGGTGCACCATATCATGAGAGCGAGGACGGTGGGAGCGACGCTACAGGCGGCGATGGCGAAGGGAATCTTGTACTTCTCCGGCGGGACCCAGATTAGCGGCAGACACAGAGACCAGAAGACGATGAAGGCGGTGAAATCCCCCGTATCCATCGTCCCGTGGGCAAGAGGCGTGTTGAGGTTCCGGAACGAAGGCCACAGCGCAGTGAGGAACGTCTTGGTGCACTGGCCCCCCCACCAGATCTGCGTCGAGTACCAGATGAACGAGAGCATGATGCGCTGCACGAGCGGGAACAGCGCGCCGTACATGCCCCACGACGCCTTCTGCAGGATGGAGAAGCCGATGTGCCACTTGGACCCTGGCGCCCCCGTGAGCACGCAGATGATGCCGACGAGGATGTTGCCGATGATAACGGTGAGCATGGCCTGCCAGACGTTGAGCCCGAGAGCGATGACAGAGGAGCCGGTCATCCACCCGCCGACGTTGAAGGCGCCGGTGACGACCCAGAGGCCCACGAACTCCCAGGGACCATAGGTACGTCTCTCCAGGGGCAGAGGCCTTGTGTCACGGTTCATGTACGCTTTGGTCTGTACATCTGTCTCTCGAGGAATCTCGAGACGCTTGAGTAGAGTGTGCAGCGCCATGGCTGTAAATGTGCTTGTAGATTTCTTGGAGCGACAATGATGGTAGGATGGCAAGGAAAGAGATGAACACGTTCAAGTCAACAAGTCATGGCGGAAAACACGTTCCAACCCGGATCTTTATGGCCGTCGTCTCCCCATAATGCTCAAAGACGACTGCGCAAAGGCGTTGTCTTATCGTCAGTACGTACAGATACAGGCGCAGATGTAGACACGAGCCCAGACGAGCCTTCACATCACCAGATACGCGGTAATTCTGCCGCCAGCCAATAAGCAGCGAGAACCAGACTATCGGTTCCTATCAGGATGCGGGGGAAGGAGAGTCAATGCTAGATCTGATATGGGCCACGCTAAGACAAGCCGGCGGGCTATCAGCTTATCTCCTATAAAGTTTAATCAATTTAGCAATTTAGCCGCCTCGCTGCCGACGACGCATGGGAGGAATAATCAGGGTCGTTACTACAAAAGACTCGTAAGTGTTCAAGACCGCCATGTTCGAGTAGCATCTGTCAAGAGCCCAGCCTCCTAGACTCGACATGGCAGCTCTTCCAATCATCGACCTCAGCACAATCTCAGAGGCGCAACTGGCCTCTGAGCTTATACGCGTTGGCAGTGACCCCGGCTTCTTCTACGTCACGGGTCACGGCATAGCTCCAGGGCCTGCCTTTGAGTTGGCAAGGGAGTTCTTCAAAGTTCCAAGAGCTGAGAAGACGACATACCGCAACGGCAGCGGTGACTTGGTAAGAGATGAGCCTGGAGGAAAGATAACCTCGCTTTCCTCGGGAATGCTAATGAACTGTTCCTAGGGCTACACGGGCATGAGGGAAGAATCGTGCGTATACCATCATTCTACTTTTTACGATGCGTTCTTCTCGGCCTCATCGCGTGTTCAACGTTAACTAATAACAAGCTTCACAGTCTCGCAGGTATGGGCCCCGGAGATGTCAAGGAGTCGTTCTACTTATGTGACCCATCGCAAAGAGCCCTGCAGGAACTACACCCAGTTCTGGAGAACGGGAGGGATCAGCTGGCTCGATTCTTCACCGACACGCAGGCGCTCGCCAATCGTCTCCTGCGGGCAATGGAGATTGGTCTCGAGGTAAGACTTCAGCCCCAGACAATTCTTTGTTTCTGACAGTCCCAGATCCCAGAGGGCGTCTTGACTGAAGCCCACACAGGAGAGGCTTGCCGCATGAGGCTCATCAACTACCCAGCCACGTCGACGTCAGCACATGATGGTGCGGCGGACGACATCAGGGCCGGTGAGCACACTGACTACGGATCCCTGACTCTTCTCTACCGCGAGCCCTCAGACCAGGGAGGCCTTCAGGTCTACCAGAATGGGACCTGGAAAGATGTGCCCTGCTTCGACGACACCATCGTCGTCAACATTGGCGATGCTCTGGAGTTCTGGACGGCAGGGAGGTTGCGATCCACTGTCCACCGTGTGGCATTCCCTCGAACAGCCAGCGAAAACGTGGCGCGCCTGAGCATCCCCGTGTTCATCCAGCCGGATCGTGAAGTTCTCCTTTCACCGTTGAAGACATCCAGCAGTGACGCATTATCAGGGATTGTGAATGATGATGTCATACGGGGATTCAATGAGGTTCTGGCGAGGAAGGGGTATCAAAGTTCTAAGCCGGTGAAAAGCTGGGAACATTTGCAATCAAGAATCCGGGCGACTTATAAAGTTGCTTGATCTGGCCACATAGTTCCCGTATACAATGCAAAGTATCTCAACTCTACCGTTTTCGCTTCCAGGAATCATTATCGGCCCGCAGTCCTCTACTCGCCAGGTCTCTTTAGCCATTGCTGCATTACCTGCATTCAACTGAACCTTACTCACTGTTCCGGTTTCGTACTTCCTAAGGGGTTATGAGGATGAATAGGCATACCGACTGCTGAACTCGAAGTGCACCCTGTACAACTACTGGAGACTCTACAGTGCAATAGTAGTAGAGAATGCACTTGGGCAATCAACGAACGACGCGAAGTGTATGCCAATTAGGATACTGGGCCCTGGTAGTCGCTGTAGGTATCGCTGTGGCACTTCAAGGAGCTCAACGGGCGGCCAGAATTGGCGGCTGGTGAGTCGTGATGACCTCCATAATGATAGGGAGAACGGCAAAGGAAGCTAGAACTGAAATTCTACTCTGCCATACTAACGCGTGAAGGAGCTCAGGGAGACGTCAGCTTGATGCAGCACGCACGGGTGTGGTTGGGTCATCGAATGAGTGTGTAAGTATCTGTAATTAACTAAGTAAGACAGTAGTGGCTTCTGGCAATGACTCAAGGATATTTTACAACCGTCCTGGCTTTGGACTATTCGAGGACCTTATTATTTATCTAGTTATTCGTCGTATTTAATTTTGAAACGTGTTTTACTCAGGTCACCAAGTTTCATTCAGACTGGCTTGTCGTTATGTCGGCCACCTACCCTACAGCTGGCGGTCATGGTGATTGTCAGACGGAAAATAAAGCAATGCCAACCACGAATGCGGATTAGCAGCACTTGGAGCACTTTTATGGGGCCTTGACTGAATCGATTGGCTGACGACCGATGCGCCACATCTACCAGCCTCAAGGAAGGCCGAATAGTGGGGGTCGGCTGCTGTATCAGAGATACATAAATCAAGGTGGAAGCTCAAGCTTCTGAGAAGTACACTTGATACAGAGCAGCCCATCCATCGGTGGAGCCCCATAAAATTCCCAAGATGCTCTCTCAGATCCCAAGGCATGTGAATGCGCGGCAGCTCCTCATTCCATCGATACCAAACCCTCTGGCATTCAGAATCCTCAACACGCCAACTTATTTTGTCCGATCGTATCAATGCCGGCGATTTGCTCCGGGCCAGCGCTGCGTACAGAACGGCTAGAATTCTCAATCTCTCCGACCTCTCAGTTAGCATCGCGATACCTGGAGTTTTGATGACTTCCTGCCTCCGCCTTGAATTCGCTTTACAGCCAGGCGATGACAAGTTCCCTGCCGCATTATTCCACCCGCGCCTACACAGTCGAAATATATGACCATGTACACCCGTGCGACATTTATCTACGCGTTATGCACGATCGCACCGTGAACGAGGCAACCTTCCCTCTTCGGTGCTCTTTGCCAGGCAAGGCCGTTAAAATCTAAGACAGCGACCCAAGATTTCCAACAAGCAAACCTACGGACGATAGAAAGGCGCCGCCACCGCGAGAACCATGTACAATATCCTCAAGTTGGAGCGTGACTGCAAAGCGATAATGCCGTGCCCTCGAAGAGACACACCCGTCCAACTCGGTTAGCCAAGAATCCCAGCGCGGAAGATATCGTTTTGGTCCACGTTGGCGCGCATCGAGTTGCAAGACCATTCTTGTCACTGCTTTGGTCCCTGAGTCAAAGCCCACCAACAAAATCTCAGCCAAATATCCCAGACGACTTTCTATCACCTCCCAACATTTCCGATAGATGCGAAACACCTTTCTCAATCTGCCCGATCGCCGCAGCATCGAAACGAGGCCGAACGAGTTCAAGTTCGTAGATGGAGAGGGAATCGCTGCAGTGGCCAGAATAATGATGGGCATGCCGCCATTCTCGGATATCTCCCGAATGTTGAGCCCTGATGCCGATGCTTGCTTGCATCCGCTCTTTCGCCCACGCTTTCGCTACACCAAGGGATCTTTTTAATGCCTGTTTTTCCGACAGGGTCATTTCGAGTTGCATTTGCGCTACTGGACAACGCTTCTCTTTGCTGCTCCGCCTTCTCCATGCGGCACGGCCCGGTCCGGTAGATCAACAGCGTTTACTTCAAGGAATGGAGTGCCGTGGAGTCTGCCGCATCTGCCACAAAGAATGTTGCTGGTAAGGTTGCTCAGGCTATTGTCAACACTGCTGATGCCGCAAAGACCATCATTGCAAACACCATGGTTCTATTGAGCACAAGCAGCTGTAAAGATTCGGGATCTACAGTGACAAGACATCAACCTATTCCCTATCGTATTCTTGGACGCAGCCTTGAGAACATGGAAGACAAAGCTCGGACCTTGTGCCATAAGCTGGGAGCGAGGCATAACACTTGGCTAAGATATTCAACTGAGGCATATTCTCCTAGCGCGACGCAGCCGTCTAAGACTGCCAACTCAGCTACCTACTGCCCGAATTTCGGTAAAGACACCCAGCGCTGTGGTAGGAGGAGCAGCAAACAGAGGTGCTGGCTCGGATTGGACCACAGCCCAGCTCAAGGAGATCAAGGCGGTCATGCGTGTCAGGCTCCTGATCAAGTCGCTGACACACACATCGCTGCATCCCCGAGAATGACGAGTACGACATCAGGTGATGCAAGAGGGGAGCGTCTCGGCCTAGTCGCCTAGGTGCCTTAGCAATGTGAGGCGGAGCCGTTACGTGATCGGCATTAGCAGAGAGAAGGGTGACGGAAAGACCGGGAGGCCAAGGATCTACGCCATCACCCTCAGGAAAATTGAAAACAAGTTCATCATAAAGTAGTGGCCCAACGAGGAGATCGTGTTCAAGTACTCGTGGGCGAGGAAGTGGTCAAGGACAGCGAGTCCAGCGGCCAGGTTGCATAACATCCACATAAAGACCGCCGACTACAGAAGCCGACCCAGATCAGCTCCACGGGCCTCAGCATCTTGGCCATAAGCTTCGACAGCACGAAGAGCAATACCGTATTCGGCGAAATCAGCGATCTCGGGAAGGGTCTTGGTAGCGTGGGCCTGCCACACGAGCGGATGTCGAGAGGTTGCAGTAAGCTATGTGTGACACCAGTCTCCTCAATAAGAATATGTCTAGAACTGTCGTGCGGCCCCGTTCTCCTTTGGTCCATACGCCTGTTATCTTTCGCGGGTTCTGAGGATATCAACTATCCTGCCACTATTCGCATGTATTGCCCCTGGAACCCCGCCAGCATGGGCATACGCTGACTTTTGGCAGTATGAACGTTGAGGGCTATGAACCTTACTTGAAGGCGGTGGCCCAAGAGAATGACGCAGATGTTGCAGAGGACGGTGATGCCCAGGCAGCTGAAGCTTTAGAAGCAGCTGAACTGGCCAAACGAGTCGAAGCCGTGGTCCCAGCGAAACCGGTCGAAGCCGCAAAGGCAGCTGAACCTCTGAAGATTCTGGGACTAGAATCCACTGCAACCAAAGTACTCAACTCTTCTCGAGCAACCCGACTGTGTCGTGTTGGATCCGACGTTACAAATAGCAGCAGTGCCTCACACCAACAGACATCAACACCAAAGAATACGGTCGACTCGAGGGGATGATATGCTTGGCGTGCAAATAACTCCGAGACAAAAAAAGGTCAAGCACCAGGAGCCCAAGCAGTCCTGGCACACATTCGACTTTCTATGTTGTAACATGGGGATAGAGCACGCGTGAACGGATTGCAAATTCGCCGACGAAAGTAACAATACAGCTCAACATCCTTCAGATCAAGGGATCAACACTGAGCCTCAGCCGGTGTATCCCTCTGATAATATTGCAGTAACCACGGCGATACCCAAGTATTCGCCGACAGAACAATCGTCGCCACAACTACCAGAACCTGCAGCGGGACTAGATGCCAGTGGGTTACAAAAAGAAGACTGTAACAAAGTATATTGTTGGCCACAAACGGACCATCAAGCCTAGCGTTGGGGGAAAGTGGTGTCCCTACAATAGAAACGATTGTTTCTGGCACCACCCACATTCGGAAAGCAAAGGTATCAGGCCTGGTTCAGGTGATGGAAAGCGTCGCTATCGGAAAGGATGTACTTAGATCAGAGATCAATGCAGGTCTCTTTATTTACAACAATAGAAACAGCGAGAGCAACCTCGAAGTAACAGATAGATCATCGAGCTAGCATAAGATCTCTGCTGATGAACTTGGTCAAGTTGAACCCAAAAGTCGATCCGCTGGGACTCGTGAAAGGGTCAAGTGCTAGCCTGGCATTCACTTGGTGGTTGGTTTGTCTTGGTTTTGGAGTCATTAAGCTTCTGCGAAGCAGTTGCTCCAGACTTGGCGACCAGGATGCGTCATCATCGGCAGTTTCGTTGATGGAGGCGGGCTTTGAGGGTATCACTATTGCGCTGGAAAGAAGGGCTTGGTCAAGGGTGAGATTGGATTACAGCCAGGCCTACCGAAAGACTGGCGCAGAAACAAGGCTCTGCTTAGAAAAACGTGCTGCCACTGTCTATAAAGGGCTGGTGCGAAGCAAGGCCCGACAGCCATCAAGAAAGAAACCTGAAAAATGTATTATGTCGGGATTGTGTATCTGATATCATCACTTCCGAATCCCCCTCCATTCTATCACCCAGGCTCTAGTCTTATTTGTCCTGAACTTGCATAGAGTTCCCAAAAGCGAGGGCAAAAATTGATCTTGCTAGATACTCGAACTTGTCTCAAGCAACGCCGCGATCCGCAAGGGAGCGGGACAAGCCTAGATATTGGTGGCAAAGGTTCAAGTCTTGACTGTTTACGGACTAAGCTTAGTGGAGCGTGTTTGTTTGGTGAGCCTGCCGGATTCGCCTTTCGCAGCATGATCTCTAAACGAAACGGCCATATGGAGTCTTTTTTGCCTGTGATCTACGGTACAGTATGCATCTCAACCAATCTGCCTGAGACAATCGTCACGATTGCTAGGCTATTGCACGTCACATTCGTTCGAATTCATGGCACACCAGTGAGGAGCCGGTAACAATGGTTTATACGGGTACCAAGACGTCTCGTTGAGCCGCTGACACCCTCCATCAGAAAGCAACAGGCGGACGACGATCGGCTCTACCAATATCCGCAAGCAAAGGAATAATATCCAGTTCGGTCGCCAATCAAGTCGAGATTCAGGAACGAGCGTTCCTTCAAACGCAAGGCAGTCCTTTCCAACAGGTTGGCAGTCAAGAATGTTGCAGCGGCCATGCACCTTGCCGATTGCCCATGAGATGAGGGCCATGATGCGAACTAGGACGATTATATGCCACGACAACTTCAGATTGAGTTCTGTTTCGTCGCTTCAGCTCGCGCCAACCCATACCGCTGTCGCTGACACGCCGCCGCTTTGATCAAAAGAGGTCATCTTTGGAGTTCAGGAGCGTAACGTTGTTATCAGGATCGACTGCGAGGACGAACAACCTCGCGATTTCCAAGTAAGATATCCGTCCAAGTTACCTGCCGATACTCGATCATTTTTCTTCGCCTTGGCAGCGAACAATCACCAGCGACATGCTAACATCTACGTAGGAGCCGCCCCAAGCGTAACCACCTCGCGGGCTCGGCCATTCCACAAGCAATTAGTCGTCACATTCTGAGTCACCCCCAGAAGAGAATGGCAGCGAAAGATAAGAAAGGAACGACCTCTGGGACCGAAAACGACCGGCCTAGCATCGAGGACCTGGGCAAAATCTTCGATGAGATGACCCAAGAACGCTTGGGACGGCGCGATCCGATAACCCGAAGATGGCGACGAAAGACCTGGGCTCCCCCAATCTGGGCCATAAAGTCAGGAAATTACAACATACAAGTTGGTTTACCTGCAGAATTCGTCCTGTATACTCTTATTGACTCTTCAGAAACAGATGCTCAGTCGTTCCACCTTTGACCCGACACCTACCTACAATGATCGCCAACGTGGACCGTTTGATACATAAATTTATGCGAGAGACCTCGCATCGGTGTGAAAAAGCAATTTGCACCGAGATTACTACTCGAGCCAGGATAAGCATCCCCTGGCCTTGGTGAAGTGAACAGCATTGGCAAAGATTCTGTGGTGGACCCGGCATGGCACGAAAGAGAGCTCAATTATGACGTTCCGCGCTGCAAGGTGTGATTTTGGTGGTTCTAAGAGAGCTGTAATATCTTTGCCGGCCACGTCAGTTCGTTTGTGAGGCATAGAAAGCTCAGTCACCAGATCGAGTCTGATCGTGCTCAATTTCCTTTGACCTTGCCATTATATCGTCACCTGTGAGATTGATGATCATCCTAGTAATTGAATTTTAAGAGGACTTCCTTTTCATGCTCAAAACTCCCTTGGTCGGCCGACGTAGCCGGCGTTCTGAAATGGGTTTGCGGTCAGATGTACGAGGGAAAGGAAGGACTTGTTGGCCTTGGAAGAACACAGCCGCTTTCTTGAAATTCAGGAATACGTGGATTTCTTTCTAGCGGTTTAGCTAAAGATGCGAAAGAATTGTAAGCCGTGGTTGCATTTTGGGCCCTGTCCTTGACAGCCGGTCTCTAATTGGGCTCGACAGCAATGTAAAGCCATGCGATTCATTACAATCCGAGATTCCTCCAGTGGCAGATCTATATGGGAATCTTGTAAATGGAATAGTATAAAATTAAATAAAAGTTCTGGTTGTGCTCTTGCGGGCACTCTGGCTCGAGCATTGGAACTGATCAATGCGACAAGTAGAGATTTTAGTATGTTAAGAGTAGCGATGAAGATGATAGTGAAGATCCCCGCGCTAATGACTTTACAGGGCCTCGTGCTGCAACAGACAGTTGTTCAAGATGCCCTGTAAAGTCCCCCGCAATTCCCCCACAGGGCAAAGCGATCCGCCCTGCCCCAAAAATGCCCGGCCATTTCTCCCCTCACTCTATCCTCAGTAGTCACTTCATTCTTCGCGCCAATCTACAGTCCTTGACCTCGACACTTGGCAGACCTTCCGGATCATCGAACCAGGCACCGACCAGCACAATCACCCGCCTACCGAATACGCGAACACGTTTTTCTTCCGGTGCGAGCATGGCCGGGCATTGGATAAGGTCCGCGCTACCGGGCGTCGTGTCGAGCTGTTCGTGCGACTCTCTCACTCGAACCTTAAGAAGCTTCTCACGTCGACACCCTCCCGTCGACAAGCGCGCACAAGGCTCTCCGACATATGTTGCTTCACAGCATCCAACCCCTGATGACTCTTTACTACAGTCGATGAACCACAGAAACACACAGAAATGCTTGCAAGAACCGTCGCCCCGAGCGCCCTGATCGTACGGCGCCGAACTACCGCTCGTTCAAAGAGAGCCTGAGCCGCAATAACCACCGCCCGGCGCACGCGTGCCATTACATGCCGTAAGAGCTGGTGTCCTCAATAATGCTTCGCGAACCAAAAGTATGCGCTATCTCCCGCCATGCCCAGAACCACAGCAACACTCCGAAAGCTTGCCGGAAACGTGCGAACGACTTGAGAATCCTGCGCCTTTGAACCAACACATCCCGAATATTCTCGAGCCCAACACGCTCTGCCTTAACTTCGCTTCGCTTCCGCGACAAGTGGTAGACCGAGAAGGCACTTAAGAGCTCCTATAACAGCCATCGAACGAGCGACGAAAGTCCCAGCGCGAAGCGCGGCCACATCGCGTGCCTCACCGACCGTCGAAGAGTTGATACCCTTGATAATGCTTTGCGGACTAAAGTATACGCCATATCCGTCATGTCCACAATCACAGCGATATGCCGAAAACTTGTTGTGAGCCTGCGTAAGACCGAGGAATCTCACTCTTGTGAACAAACAAATACGCAAGCCGGGGCCTGCTGCACTTGAATGTCGTCTCACTCGCTTCTCCCAGGAGGAACCCAAGCTCGTATCTAAAGAAGCGATCCCAGGCCAGCCCATCCTATCTGCTGCCTGCGTCGCGCCAACTCAAGTGCTCAACATAAATTACCATTCACAAATACTCGCGCTTTATGGCCTGGCGCTTCTCTTCTGGCCTCTATAAGGCTTCTTGGCAAGGCCATCGTAGACTTGGGACCTTAATTACCGGTTTTGAACCTCTGCGAGCATCTCTGACCGGCTCCGTTATAGCCGCCACGTGTGAAGCTTACCCAGGCTTCTAGCCCCAATTCGAGGAAGTTGTTCAGAGGTTGGCGATATTTCTGCTGGCTTGACGTATCAGTTGCAATAATCGTACACTGGGTAACTTTGAAGCGACCTCGAAAAGAGCTTAAGCGACCCAAAGTAGCTGACTCGCGAAGGAGTTACAAGAATGTATCATACAGCTTTCTATTCGTCTCTAATGATCGAGGATAGTTGATGTCAGACTGATCAACAGTTTCAAGCCCAGGTATCCTCTTCTCGGTACATTATGTCTCTGAAGGAATGATGCAATGGGGCTATCTCGGGTGGTGTTTTGGCCACAGTCTCATGCGATCTTGATATAAACATCAGCCTTTAGGATAAGGAGGTCTTGTAATGTAAGGCGTGCTTTTTAACTGATGATATATGTCTAGAATTGCAATGCTGGTGCTGCTGTCAGACATGCCCTGCAGTAAATTGAACAGCATCAAACTTCCTCTACATTGCAAAGGCGAAAAACTGAAAGATCTCCATTATTGATAAATGCGTTCCACGGAGTAAGGATGCCATTTCAGAAGGCAGTTGAAGGTATAACAACCGAGATCCTAATGGTTTCGCAGCTGCGTCAAAGTGACCTCAGAATCGTGTCTGTCTACTGCGACAAAAACAAGGGCAGCAATTGATCCGATATTCCGTCCTCCATTGGAGGGATTGAACTGTTAGTGTTGCTATTTTGACGGCTCATCGTAACTATTACCACCAGTTTCTTGAGATGTGGGGTTTAGTCTTGAGTGTCGACACGAGACAGCAGCGATATCACTTCTAGCACTGGGATTCCTTGCCGCCGATCGTTGTAAGTTGAGCAGAGTCTCCACAGAACACCGATTCCCATTAGAGCTTGGTACAGCCTCCCTGGGACAAATACTGCCCCTTTCGGACATCTCCAATACCGTGATTGGTAGCAGGCGACAACATACATCGTTTAAGCTTCAGTCTCCCCACATCATATCAGCTGAGGGCGATTGGGTGCAACCCAAGATCAGCCCCAGCTCCAACGTTGAGACTGAAATCATGTTGCAAAGGAATTGATCCCTAGCAAGCTTTGAGTGCTGAGAGTCTGCGGAGACGGCATAAAAGGCCAGCTTGCATGCCAAGGCAATGAGATTGACCTTGGCAACTTCAGACGGCATCCATCAAGAGAGGTTGCCTCGGCAAGACCAGAGCAAGGCAATAAGTCTTATAAGATCGTATTCAGTCGAATAGTAGTCCTTGGTGACTACTGGTCGCATTTGGCTGCAGTCCTCTATTGTCACAACCCTAAGGATGAGGCAGACGGCTCAGTGAAACAACAACCACACACAACAATAGCCAAGTTACGAGAGTTGATCAATCATGGTCTCTATCACTATTTCCGACTAGCACTGCATCATTACCCAGGTCATCGGCGGCTCGCATGCTTATCACAGTCTACACCAGCCCCCTATAGAAAGACATTTCTGTTGCGTTTGATCCACCTGCTTGACCAGCGATCTGTAATGCCATCAAGAAATGCCATCTTCAGCAATATTTTCAGCCGGCATCCGGCAACCAAAGCTGGTCGTTCATAGCCAGGCATGTTGGCATTCGTAGGTGAATGAAACCTTAAGATCTGAAGCCCGATCAAGACCAGAGTCGTGTCCACTAAAACTCTCCATGAGTACGCCTTGGTATTCTCAGGGCATTGATATGACTATTATCGAAGAAGAGCTCCCAAGACTCTTTTACGTATTGCTGGAATGATGAAAGTCATCATGATTCTTATGATGTCTGAGTAACCAAGGCGCTGTTAGTGAGAGGAATTGCAGCTCCCGGAATGGCGCTTCATAACCATACCTGTCCAACGTTAGTGGAAGACAGTCTTGGCTACGGTGCCACATGGCAGTCAACTCAGTCGTTGTGCTCCCACGGCCAGCCTCCCTACGTGATGCGTGTCTTGTACAACTGGACGGCATGTGTCAGGGTGAAGCTTGCGAGACGCGACTTGTCAAACAACTCTAATTCCAGGACCCTGTGATATTACACTGATGTACATGTTTTGGCGGGTTTAGACCTTGCACGGGTGCAGATGCTGTGTCAACAGAATGCGACGCCAATTCGACAGCTGTTCAACATTGACATGACCCTGGCAGTTTTCGGCAACAGTTAACGTTCTTGCGTAAAGGGAGCGATTGGTAGGGGCTCAGGTTTTCTGCTCTTGTCTTTTGCGAACTGGGGGCAAATGGAATCGTGACAACGCAAGCCTGGGTATGCTTGAGATGCGAAGAAAGGGAGATGGCACACTGGCTGGATCATAGCCAGCTGAGGAGCTTTTTCACATGTGGAAACACGGTCTTGTGCTGACAAAATTGGATATGCCAAAGCAGAGCGTCGTTGGTCATTGAGCATTTCCTTTTTGTAATTGACTGATGAATTCCTTCAAGCTGCAGTATGGGGGGCGGGGAACAAAGCTCAGGGCCTTGATCGTAAATTCTGAAAAGACTTAGGCCACTTAGCATGAGTTTAGGATATATTTTACTGAGTTATCTAGACGTCCTGTACAAAGGTCTGATGTTTTCTTGCTCTCCGATGACTATTTGGTGTCGTTGACCACTGCGGAGAAGCGCCGGGGAACAGAGGAGGCCCGTTACTCTAGCTCACCATGCCCGCTGTTGGTGGTTACAGTAACTCAAGGATTCCCCGCGAAAGGACCGTTGCTCCGGAAGACACAGGTACGCAATTCTGGTGGTACCTTACCAAATAATGTGCCTGTTCTGCTGGACCTGCCCTGCCTTCCTCAAAGCAGGATGAAATGTTATTCTGGCAAGTGATACGTCATCAGAGCAAAGCTACCTCTCTTCCGACACTCAACTTCGCATCCAACGTCTTCACAACATTCATCACTCTCTGTTTCAAACCATCTTCAAACGCACATTTTCATCACCACGAATCTCCGCCCTCAACAGCCTTGGCCTTTCTTCCTTCGTTAACTCGCACAGCTCTTTTGAGCCTGTGGCCCCGCGCGGACATGAGGCAGTGTGCACAACTGGCTCTCGAGTGGCACCGCCAACTCCCCACTCGAGAGCTCACCATTTGTCGTTATCGACAGGCGGGACAATGGTGGTACCCGAGTATCGCGATGAAGGTAAGCCAGCAGAATAGTCATGCCCCCCGAGCCTTGATGGATGATGACTGACAATCACAGTCGCCATCACCTCGCCATCGCCGACCCCCCAGCTTGCTTCCATCTGCAACTCGCCGCATCTTTCTGAGTAAAAAGAACCCGACCAACAGCGCCGCCACAGCCGAGAGGCGGACACCGGAATGGTAGACGCGGCGTGCTGCGTCCTCCTCTTGGGCCCCGAAGCCACGCCTCCCACAGCGGGCTCAGTGCGGCGGACGGACGCCCTGGGGAATTTATAGGGGGAAGGGGGGTCAGGAAGCGCCAAAATGGCGGTACCCGAGTATGGCGATGAAGGTAAGGCAACAGCAGAGTACCTACACTCCCTGGACCTTGATGATGACTGATAGTGACAGTCGCCATCACACTCTCCATCGCCCACCCCCCTGCCCAGCTTCTCATATCCAACTCGCCGCATCTTTCTGAGTAAAAAGAAACCGACCACGAAGACCGACATAGCCACACAACAGCGACCACCGAGAGTCCACAGGAGGCAAGGAAATGGCGGTACCCGAGTATCGTGACGAAGGTAAGGCAACAGCAGAGTCCCCTTACTCCCTGAACCTTGAAGCGAAGATCACTGACAATGACAGTCGCGATCACACTCTCCATCGCTGCCCCCCGCCCAGCTTCTCATTTCCAACTCGTTGCACCCTAGATAGCGCTGGTAGCTAATAACAACACCATTCATTCCAACTCGTAGCATCTTTCTCAGTAAAAGAGATCCAACCAAGAGCATCATTACACGATACCATCATGGCTCGAGAGTCCGCAGATTTGCCGCGTCAACAAGCAATCAAAATGGCGGCACCCGAGTATGTTCATCACAGCTACCGCCATCAATCATCTTCATCCTCCCCTCACACTCACCACCGTCTGACCACTCACTCCTCTCCGCCTTCACGCTATTCATAAGCTACTTCGCTCGGAAGACCCTGGCCACCACGAACTGCCCAATCTCCACACAGGACTGCCGCATGACTGAAAACAAGGCCAGCCCGAACCTTGCTTCCATAAACCCCGATGCCGAGACGAACACCAACGGACGAAGAGACAGAGTCCTCCCAAGGCCACAAATATCCAGCTTCCGAATTCGTACTGCCACGGACAGCATCGTGCCCCATGGAGGCAGCAAGCTTCCCGACTCGGACGTGACTGGGTCAATGTCGCTTTGCACAAACCCATCGCGGGAAGAACAGCTCCATCTACCGCCAATTAAGTCCCCAGTCGGTAAGCAACCACCTCCGAGGCCAAGCACAAGGTGGAGACTGAGAGAGCAGACTACACAAGTCGTCGCCCCTTCAAAGCCACCATGACAACCAGAAAGCCTCGAGAAGTCGAAGATGGGTCTCCAAGACATACGTCAAAAGCCAATTCTGCTTCTCAGTAGTCTGAAGAAGCACGTTCGTATTTTCCCACCTTCGAGTACGTTGTGCTCTTCCTCCCACGGTCCAGTTCACCGATACTAACAAATACCAATGGGTTTCTCCTTCGGCCCCAGGGGGGTGCAAATTCTACCAGACAGGTGCCTGGCATTCGATCTCGTCGACGACATCTGTATCCACGCGAAGGAGTATAAGTAAGGACGTAAAGAAGATCGTTCTTGGGATTGGGATGTCAAACGAGTCTTTCCAAACAAGAAAAGGTCCAGCTTGCTGCCTTCTCGGCCCTGGCATGTTTCCTTCGTCCCTCGCTATTCCACCCTCTGACACAGTCAAGAAGTACTGGGCCTTGCATCGTTGTGCAGTCTGAGTTTTCCAGATGGGCTTTGTAGATGAATGACCGCCGGCCAGACCTATTCGTTCTTCGGTGGCACGGGCGACCAAAATTTGAGGCTTAACCTTGTGGAAGAATCATGGGGGGTATCTGGTGATCTAAAAGAGGCACTATCTGAATAGGGGAAGAATTCTAGATTGTATCTCGTCATTTGTATCCCAATACATACTATACTATCGCCTTAACAACAACAGAGATTCATCGCCATGGCCGAAAAAAAAAGATACCCAACCTCACGCACTTCCTACCATTTCTTCCGCATCACGATGTCACGGATCCAACATGAGAGATCATAATCGTGAAGCATCCTCATCTCCTCGTGCCCTTCCCTCAACGTCGGCCGCCTCTGAAGACGTCGCCTCTGCCGACTCCTCCTTCCAGGCCCTCTCCGCGATAGGCGAAGTTGGTGACAAGCTCCCCTCAGCTATCGAGCCCACCGAGGCTCCCTTTTTCGCCAATAATTCTTACGCCGATCGACTTCCTGCGAGCATTGTTGAGTTTTACCTGAACCAAGAGACCATCTCCGCTCTCGCCCTGGTAACTGTCCCCCTCAGTATCGCAGACTTCCACCGCTACGAAGACGACATTGCAGCATGCGTCGACAAGCGGTTCGACTATGACCCGGAAACACAGGTGATCACATTCCGTATGACTACTCCGACGCACGACAAGTTTGCTAAATATGTCGAGGATGCCATATTGAAGGAGCTGAGCAAGCTTGATAAAGGGCATTCCAACTTCATAGCCGGTATTGAGACTGTCGGCCATGCTCGTATTGAGCTGGCTCCCAACCCAAGCGCTGTTAGTGCTTCAGGAAGTGACACCGAAAGCATGGGGAAATTTACACTCTATCATTTGTATCCTAATGCCAGAAGGTTACTACTTGAACTGAGGATGAAAGTCCTGAAATGGAGATGATTAAGCAAAGAATGAGACTCGTACATCCAGAAATACTAAATGTTGAATCTGATAACTTACAGCATTTATGCGTTCGTCCTGTCCATCAAGACCAAGGCGATGGCCGAGGAACCATAGCTATTGACCAGCTGGTTCATTGGCACTCCGTATAATGACGGAGCCTCTCGTAGGGCAAAGACAGTCACAGTCCGTCTCACATAGAATCTGCAATCTCCAATCTTCAAGTGGAATGGCTCGGAGTTTGTTGCAATGGTTCATCGCATTACGCAGACTGCTCCCTCTCACAGTCATCCCCCTCGTCTTGGTAGTGCGAATCGAACTTTATATCTACAAGCTGTCAGTTACACTGCAACTCTTGAGTTACTGGCTCGGGGCAGTCCCTTGTCTGCGTTAACGAAAACATTTTGGGCCTGTCCAACGTCTTTCCAGATACTAGATACATGAACTGAGACATTTCTTGAACAGATCGTGAACACTGGATATGGACCTGTAGATATGAGTGATATGGACAGAACTTGTCAAGTCTTAGAAATCGACATAAAGGGTATGTCCTGTATATCTTGCATTTACTTGACGGCAATGATAGCCTCAAATGCGAGCTGTAACCTTCTCTAGCGCCAACAATGGATCGAGATCGGGTTTAACCTAGCTTGGACGGCATCTCCTCACAGCACGGCCCGGCAGATTATCAAATTTGATCCAAAGGTGTCTATTACAGCCTGCAGGTGATGGAGTTGTTGTCTGAATCCATTTTATATTCTGAGGCGTAGAGCCAAAGATGTCGTCAACGAAGTTATACGCAGTATATAGAAACATCTAAACATCCAATCTTGCGTGACCGAAGTAGCACATTCTGTCGCCAAACTCCCGACTTTCGGCGCTGTGAACGATAGCTCGCATCACCCAAAGCCTGGTGTCAGAGCACTCCGTGATCCCTCCTGTGCCTATGGACACGCGTTCTATCTTGCTTGTGAGATCCCAAGTACAATCGGTGTCAAGATACCCAACTCATTGGACTTGAGCGTTTACTGCTCTCTCCCAGGATCTTAGACGTGATGAGAACATGGACGGTTTGATCTGGTGTGCTGTTGGTGAACCGGCTCAATCGAATGTGCCGTTTGCCAAGTTCCAGTGGGGGTGTCCTGTAACCCGCTGCAGCAAAGGGCTGTGCAGGCCTCGAGAAATCGGATCAGATCGGGCCTTAAGAAATCGACTACCAACTCACATATCCACAATTCGCAGCCGTATACGAGTGACTGAGTTGCCTACGCCCACGATTGATAGCCTATCTTTCTAAGGTCAAGCTACCGCGATCTTATTGCTGACGCCGTTGATTCGTTTCTTTTTCCGCACGATTGACGCCATCACCCTCTCTATATTCGACCGGCCATCGACCGGCCATCGACATTCGTTACCAAGAGAATCTTGAGCCTATTATCCTCTCCCTAAACTCTCAGTACGCCTCGCTGCCCTCGTATATATGAATAAAAACTAAATTAGCTGTACCATTTTCACTACTATATATAATAAGCTAGACGCAGCTACCAGGACTACTGGAGTCATTCTTTAGCCTAAAATGTACGTCATACAGTTTGAAGGCCTCAAAACGAGATCGCAGGCCTCAAAATGATATTGCGGGCCTCAAAATGATAGTCTTACTATAGCATAATAAAGATAAGGCGGGCCCTGGAAACTTCATCAGTGTTCTAACATACTACATAAGTTTCTCAGCCTTTACGTTTCAAATGGCTAAATCATTGTGCGTCTTGTGCTCTAGCTTTATAGAAAGCTTTGGGGAGGTTGAGGATGCCAACTGGTCATCCCGCTTGAGAGTAGCCCCAAACATTCATTCACTTCGATCCCAAGCACGAACTGGCTGTCACCTGTGTCAAATTATCTACCAGTCTTGTTTCTATCTTCACACAGTCTCATGGGAGCATCAAGATTATCCTATTACAATCTTCGCTTCGCCGCCTGGAAATTATAACCCATATAATGTTGACTATAATGAATATTGCAAAATGGTCTACGATACGGAGGACGAGGACGGGTTACCTTTCCGGAATCTTAACCCTAGACAACTTCGGCTCTCTATTAGCGTTGGAGAAAATGGGAAAGGGAGGATTCATTATTTACCAGTAGTCGGGGGCAATGACATACGAAAGGAGGGGGGCATGTCCTTTGCTTTTTCGAATTCAAGCACGCCTCATGGATTACACGAAATTATCCAATCAGCCAAGGAATGGTTGCTGATATGTCGCAACGGTCACGTTGGATGCAGCAACTCTGCATCTAGTGAAAAACACGTTCTACCAACAAGGCTAATTGACGTTGGCTCACAAATTGAGGAAAGAATGCCTAGATTGCATATTACGAGCCAGGATACTCGGGACATAGAGTACGCTGCTCTAAGCTATGCATGGGGTGATGCCCAGGCAAACTTCACTAAGACAACAGCATCTAACCTGGATGATATGAGGAGACAACTGCCATGGAACAAACTCTCGAAGACGGTTCAAGATGCTATCATCATCACCCGCGGTCTGGGGCTTAAATATTTATGGGTGGATGCTTTATGCATATTACAGAAAGAGAAGCTTAATGATACTCGACATATGGAGGATTGGTCCTTTGAAGCTTCCAGATTTGCCAGTTATTACCAAAACGCTGTTCTGACAATTGCAGCAACGGGGTCCGAATCATCTAGCAGAGGACTATTTCTGGAGAGGCCTACGCTCGAGTTTAACCCAGAACCCGTGGTTGTTTTACAAAAGTCATATTGGACAGGATTTAGAGAATCTACGGTCCAACCCCTTTATCCCCAACCAAGATCAGAAATTGTCAACTCAGCATTACTTACTAGGGCATGGACTACTCAAGAAAGACTTTTATCGGAGAGAATACTACACTTTGGTGCGAACTGCATATTTTGGGAATGTTCTGGAGGTTATGTAAGTGAACTTCACCCTAACCGCTGGGACCCACCACACGAAACGTTCGAGTTCTTCAATTTCAAGAATATTCATACTTTTAATACCGAAGAACTCACGGAGTTGTGGTACGATTTCGTCAGTAACTATTCATTGAAGGATCTTTCGGTCGGATCAGATAGACTCCCTGCATTGTCAGGAGTTGCCACACTGGTATCTACTAGATGTCAACAGAAGTATATTGCAGGCATCTGGGAGTCGAGTGTTGCAGAAGGACTCACCTGGATAGCGATCAGCACCTCCGGCATCGATACTGATGATCCTATCAAGTCAGAGCGAGTTCTACCCTCTTGGTCTTGGGCATCTAACAACGGCCTTATATGGTTTCTTTTCCGTCGAGACCCTTGGCAATCAATGATACAAGTCATAAACTTCTGTTCGAGGTCAAAGGGGTCAGACACTTCTGGTCAGGTTCTGGAAGCACGTTTAACTCTAAAGGGTTTGGTCAGGATGGTAGACTTGTCCCAGTTGAAGCTGGAGTACCCTCGTAATAAGCACGCCAAGGAGGAATCCACTGAAAGCAATCACCGAGACACCCTCAAGCATAAACATATGGCCAACATGGATGGCATAAAGCCTGCCGAGCCGCTTAGCACTCACCCTCGACTTTGTCTTTTGGTTGGGACAATACATGAACCGGAATATAATCCATGGCGGAAAGTCAAAATGGGGGTTGCATGTGTGTTGGAACATTCTGGACGTCGTTATGGTGAGTTTGAGGGATATAAACGCATTGGGCTTGTGAGTCTTCCGTTTGATGAATACTGGTCTGAGGTAAAGGACGTTAGGACAATTGAGTTGGTTTAGGCAGACAATGTAGTCATTGTTAAGATAATGAAGCAATAATTCTAGGCAGAGCGCGGTTTTCTCCCAATATGCATCAGCTAAATTGATACTAGAAGATAACATCACAAGTAAACCGGGATGGACTAACGTGCCAATGTAGAACAATGCTTAAGAAGACGGATTCGACGGGCTGGATAACTTCAAGAGCTCGAATGTAGCTACCGAAAAAGATGAGATGGCGGAGCTGTTTTCTTTCAAGTGGCCCTGCCTGATATTCCTGGTGCGCCTCACATGTCTACAGTTTGCCTCGTGCGCCTTACAATCCCTTCCTTCCAGGTAACCCCCGTCGTTCACAATCTTACTCTGAGTTTATATTGCAACACCCCTGACTTCGTTATGTATTCCAGCATCGATGCTCGCACAATAGTCTGATCAAACGCGGTTTAGGCAAATGCCCTCGTAGGATATTTTCAATCGCACTTCAATCGATACTTGCTAAGACTTCGTGGTCCCAAATAATCTTCATATTCACTGCTAACCCCAAAAAAGGCTCGACCTTGGTGTCAGAAACGCGCGAATGTGAGGAAGCTTTTGGTAAAGCCTCCAGGGTATCGACTGTGAGGCCAGCTGCGCAGGAAGATGTAATGAGTTTTTGGCAGCAGCGTTCGGCATCTCTCACACAACAGTGTTCATTTTCCTTTGCCTTGAAGACATTGGCGATTGGACAATGGCACTAGAGTGCCATATCCAAGGACGTTGCCGTTGAAGGGGTAACAAGGCCTCCAACGAGGCTTGCCTTGCCTCATCAGAGTGATGTAAACTTCGCAGTATTTGTCAACATCTCTACCAAGAAGCTGTTCTTTATGTGAAGCTTGAGACTATGATGCCCTGTCATCAAGTTGAATTCCCTTCAAGAGACTAATACCCACAACACTTGCCTCTTGGAGCGGATGATGGCGGCCAAGTGTCGGCTGCCCTTATCTCCTCCCAGCCTGTGTCGGTAACAGCGTCCCAATTTTTGAATAGCCATAAAGCATTAGATTTACACCAGGAGTACAATTGATGCTAAAACGCTAATGTTCAATGCTACTTACTCATCAACGCTGCCCCAGTTGCCGGCCCCCCCTTCTCATCATCTCCTTTTTCTCTTGTTGATTTCTTCTATCTCCTCCTTGAGATCTATACAAAAGCCACAGAAATGACAAGGTTTTCCATCTGTGTGCTCTTCACATGACCAAGGCAACATTTCAACTGAAAACCCCCAAGTCCGCTCCCCCAGGCAAAAACATCCTCTGCACCCCTGAAAATGACATCCTGCACCCACAGTCCAGCTAGTAGTCGTTGTCTTAATAGAATTCCCGCTGTGTGCAATAGATCTATTATTTTGAGGCGATTCTCTTCCATAAGCTCTCTCCAGTCTCGGACCGTTGCTTTGAACGGCCATCGGGTGCAGGTGAAGATGAACGGCATTTGTCCGTCGAATTCATCGCAGACTTTATTCCATGCCCTGCCGATGTGGTAATGATCTTTCATCTTGAGGTATGTTTCCACATCCGAGCCAAGCTTTCCAGCAACTTGCTCGATGTTTGTTGCAGCAAATCGATCTCGACCTTCTTCTTGTGGAATCTAGAGGGTGTGTTTAGCTAGACATGATTACTCGTATTCAACTTGGAATTCGGTGAGGATAGTCTGTTTCTCAACTTGTTCTAAATATCTGAGATATACACTCATATGGTCATCGTCAGTCAGATCGGCTTTGTTGGAGATGGTACCTGCCGCGGTCGGAAGCCAGGCATGAGGGAGGCGATTTGTTGCTTGGCTTGGTCGCTCAATACTCACGCTATCATCCTGTACATGGGTACTTCGCTGGGGTCCAGAGTCAATGGTATTTCCAAGTCTGTAGCAGCAGTTCGTAAGAAATCACTCAGAACTCCCGTGCTCCAAGGCTCATTTTTCGATCCCTCGGGCCGCGTCACGTTTACACTGTTTGAGTTATCTTCACCGTTATGGGTTGCTTTTAGTTTCTATCCCTTGGACTTCATTATTCATGATTTCGACGTGAGAACATGCCAAGAGGTATAATGAAGCAAGGCCGTTTGGGTCTGACCGCAGCAGAGAGGACTCTGTTCATTAGAGAAGCTGGGTATTTCTGATTCACTGATGTACTTGATGGAGAGAGAGAGCGAATATGAAGAATAATGACTTACTGATACTGATTCCGTCTCGTGAAGATAAGATCTCCCGCTCTTCGAGGAAAGATTGTGAAACGCACGCCTGCTTCTTCGAGTCGTTTAGGTCTGAAGAAGATACTATGGCGCACCCACTGATAGCAGTAATTCCCCGTCGGAGGAGCATTGGGGATCGTATCTGGAACTCAAACTTCAAACATCGTTGTATCTCTTGTGTCGACAAGCAGAAAGACCGTTGTACCAGCAAATCCCACACTCACTGATTCGAAATTGGCATCCTCTTTATGCATCGTAGTCCCCGCATACTACGCTCCGCAGTGCGTATAAGGCTGATTAGCCCCTCTGAGCTCTCCAATATCAGCGAGTCTGCCCACATAAAAGGGCAGAAATTCCACAAGGGAGACTTCATGACTCCAGCGTTGTGAAGAATATAACGCCTGGGATGGCTGACGAAGCAAGCTAATTTACGACCTGCTTCTCTTGCTGTCGTGCAGTACTTTAAGCCCTCGAAACCAGGAGGATGGAAAGATTGCTCTTTGTTGGTCGTTCTGATCCTGATATGATCCTAGGAATCAACCGTAGCGGCATTTTTGTTGATATTTCGGCTATCTTTCGGTTCGAGGTCCCATGTATCCGTTGAACGACGCTTCATTGCTTCTGCCAAACCAGACACCTGAGCCTTCTGGATCTGCTCAACATCAGAGTCAAGGGCATCTATTGTGGCGGCAAGATTCTTTCCGAGCTGCCGTAGCTCCAAGGTTAGTACGTCATCGCGGTCATCGATATGTTTCCCGTAGCGGTTAGGGCTTGGCTCTAACTGAGCCATCTGGTTTGAGTCTAGCGCTAGTGCGAGTTTCCACTCATCGCTTGTGCACCGCTACTTTAGCTGCGTTTAAGGTTACTTTCTTTGCATACCTAGCTCCAAGGCCTGAGTTCTGGTGATGCGGATAGACTGGCGGGCAGACTTAAGGTGTTTGCAGAGGTGATACCGGGCGGATGAGGCTCAGGGCTGACGTCCAGCTGGCTTGAATCTGACTGTGCGTCGTTCTCAGAAGTGGTAGCTAGAATTGAAGTTTGCTGAGCCGCATCGTTAGGCACTCCGTGTGCCGCCTCCGACACATCGATTGCAAGCCAAGCTTCTTTGCAGAGTTCAGGTTCAAGAGTTCATTACCAGTAACGACGAGGTCCACAGCCGCTTTCAGCTCATTCATATTTGCATCGAGAAGCGCGTAGATATCTTCTACATTTTTCTGTGATTTCCATGGCGATATGTAGTCTCCAGTGTTAAGGCGATTGGGCTTAGAAGCTTCGGTCCTGACTTCGGCGACGAGCCATTTGAGCGTTTCAACTATGGCAGTAGTGCGGTCTGGTGGTTCAAGGTCTGCCATTGCACTGATAGTCACGATGCTGGTTTGGCATGGATATGAGCAATGAGGCCTTTGTCTCGTTCATCTTCTCCGCACCGTGTGACAGACTGCCTGATATCCAAGGCTCCCTCGCTCATTGTCACACTCGAGAAGCAAGACCGATCGGAACCACGAGTCTTACTCGTCAGCTCAGTTATGCTCTCGCTTCTCAGTGAAGTAAGTCTGGACAGATGCGTTTATTCTTTCTTCATTACAGCCCGTGCCGTAAATATGTGCATTCAGTGGCCGGTTTTCTACAGGCTGTTAGCATGCCGATTGAGAATTTTATGGCGTTTTGTATGTCGCCCGAGACGCTGAAACCAGACCATCTCAGAAAATTCCGTTTTTTCACTTTCCCTCAAGGTCGCATCACGGAAGCGCCAACTCAGTGCTTATAGTGAAAACGAGGCTTGGCCTATAGAAAGCTTGAAAATTAGCTGTCTTTAAAGCCCTTAAAAAAGCCACTATTATGGTTACCTTAAAAGATAGGGTATTCCTCTTAATTTTCTCTATAAACCTCCTTTTTGCTGTTCAATTTAATAGATTAAGGAGACCTAAAGATAGGTCTCTTTTCTCTATATACTAAAGACTTATATATAATAGAAGGTCTAACTGGCCGATCCTCAGATGAATCTGGCTAAACCTCGGGGTAAACTGAGTTATATAGTAAGTTGGCCCCTTCCTCAGCTTACTTTTGAACTTTCATCTTACATCAATAGGACCTCCTTTAGTGACTGATATCTCTCAACGTCAGCTTTATAAAATATTTCCCCATTCTCTTCTACTTATCTCAAAGAGTTATTTTAAGTTAACAAACCTAACGGCTAATGCTTACATCACGCGCCTTACTTGTGTTAAAGAAGAAGTCTAAATATTTATTGTTAAGACTATAAAATCTATTCCAGGCCTGAAACAGCCAGTGCTACATAATGGAAGAGACTCAAGAGCAGATCCAAATTGTACTTGAATATATCGACGCAACCTCTTGTGGAGATCCTTTGTGGGCAAAACATATGAGCTATCTCAGTCATCTCAAGTACCGTTTACATGAGCATACCGCTGACCCGGTTCTTCTTGATGATAGTATCTCTATCGGACTTGAAGCTCTCAGGGCCTCGAAAAAGGATGATCCAAATCGAGGAGTTCGACTATCTGCACAAGCATCCCGACTAAAAGAGCGATACTCCATTTCAGGTGCCACTGAGGACCTAAAGGAGGCAATCCGATTAACAGATGAAGCGATGCAGCTTATCCCTGACGACCACCCTATGCGGGCTGCAGCCTTGATTGACCACGGATGTATCTTACGTCTAGGTGGCTCGGTAGCGGACCTCGACGAAGCTGCGATCGTGTTTGTAGAGGCTACCAGAATCACTGAAGACATCGAGATCTTATTTGCGGCTCAAAAGAACCTGGACACTATTTTCTACGAGAAATATCACCTATCAGGAGAGGTGACTGATTTGGAGCTTTCAATCCGGTCCGCCCGCTCAGCTATCAGCCTGTTGTTAGACGATGATAAACAGAAAGCCATGCATCTCGGGAGTCTATTCCTTCGGCTGAGAGATCTTTATCACAAAACCAACACTTCGGAGGCCCTTGATGAGGCCGTCACAACTATGCAGCAGGCCTTAGACCTGGCCCCAGAGGGCGATTCATACTATGCAGTCAGTCTGACAAACCTTGGAACGGCGCGCTTTGATCGATGGCAACTTCATGGTGAAAGAGTTGATCTCGAGGCCTCCATCCAGCTCGTGAAGAGCGCTATTGCACTACTTGCAAATGAGGATCCGCTGAAAGCTATGGGTTTGCGTAACTTGAGTGATCGACTGTATCAAAGGTTTCGCATCACCAGAGCGCTGGATGATATAAGAGAGTGTGTCGAAGTAGGGCTCGAAGCGCTTGCTGCAACTCCGACGAACTACCCGGAAAGGGTGCGATTTTCCAGTGATATTGCACTTCGACTAGCAGCTCTTTACAGACAGACGAGGGGCTTGACTGAACTGAATGAAGCAATTGATATGGCAAGACAAGCCTTGAATATGACGAGAGAGACAGAATCGTGGTGGGGACAGCTTGTTGACTATCTCAATTGCCTCCTAAATGCGAGGTATGCACGAGAAGGCGTGGTAGCAGATTTACAGGAAGCTGTCCAGCTCGCGGAACGGTGTATTGAAATGACTTGCAAGGACCATAAATCATATCCAGAGAGACTTATGAACCTCGCGGATTGCATGTGGCAACGATATAGAGCTTTTGGAGTGGCGTCTGATATACACAAGGCTGTCTCGTTGGGTCGCGAAGCTTTGACTGGACTTCCCCGGGGCCATGCAGATTGCGATAGGTTCAAGAGTTCTCTTGGACGATGGCTTGGTGACATGTTTTTGGAAACAGGATTGGACTCTGATCTTGAAGTGGGTATCCAGCTTGCAAGGGAGGCTTACAACTCATCTCGGCCGGATGAACAAAGCCATTCGAACTACTCCATAAATCTTTGCGAACTTTTATTCCTCGGGAGAGGAACTAGGAGCGCTGGGGGTGATTCGATCGACGAAGCTATCCAAATACTGAAGGGAGAAGTGCATTCGATGCCGAAGGACGACCCAAACTACCATGTGCAGTTAATGAATCTCTCAACCTACCTCGGCACTAGATATCAGGAGCGCGAAGAGGATTCAGATCTAGAAGAAGCTATCAGTTTTGCTCGGGATGCTTCGCATTCGGCGGAGAGCTCCTCTACCGACTACTTCGAGACCCTCAACAATATTGGTACTCTCATTGGTATGAGACACGACAGAAGTAGGAAAGCTGTTGATCTTGAGGAAGCGAAACAGGTGATTTCAGAAGCTCTACAAAGCATCGAGACTAGTCATTCACCCAGACCAAGTCTTTTGAACAACATGGCGAATCGTCTCAGGGTCCAATTCTTAATAACTGGGGACTTGAATGCGTTGGAGGATGCAATACACTTAGCCCGAGAAGCCACTGAAACCGAGGTCAACAGAAGGAACAAGAAAGCTCTCTATACTCTTGGCACTCTTCTCGGAGATAGATTCATTTCGACTGGAGAAATTGCAGACCTCAACACAAGCATCGAGATTCTTGAGAGCGCCATAGCAGACATACCCGCAAACGATCCGGATAAGCCTGGCATTCTTAACAATCTTGGGATTCGCCTTGGAGATCGATATTATCGAACTTGGGAAATAGCCGATCTCGACCGTTCTATCCAGTACACAAGGGAAGCCGTCAGCATGACGCCAAAAAGACATGTCGAATTCGCTGCGAGATCACAAAACCTAGCTGCTCGGGTTGGGGACAGATACAGAAGGATTGGAAGACTGACGGATCTTGAAGATGCTATTCGCATTGGCAGTGATCTTTTGACCTCTGGTTCTTTTGTCTCAAACCGTTCGGCAATCCTGAATAACCTTGGGATAAGGTTAAATGATAAATACTCAAGAACTGGGTTGTTTGAAGACCTGAATAATGCAATCCAACATGCGACAAGAGCAGTTGATGTTCTGCCCCCTGACCGCCTCGAACTGGCTGGGCATCTGAAGAACCTTGGAACTCTGCTCAACGAGAAATACATGAGGACGGCAGATGCCGATGACTACACCGCTTGCGTGGATATTGGAGAGAGGGCACTTCAGGCCGCTCCGCTCGGCCATTCGCTGCACTCTTCATGTTTGAGCAACATGGCCAGGCTCTTCTTTATCAACTTCCAAAAGACGGGGGACCTGGCTCAGCTGGAAGAGTCTATTCGGATGTTTCGTGAGGCCGTTGGTTCAAGCCCTGAAGACCACCCATTTCATGCAGACCGACTGCTATGCCTTGGGGACGTGTTGGCGGAGAAATATGTCATTTCTAGAGATCTAGCTGTTCTAGACGAGTCAATCACCTATGTTCGATCTGCTTCTAGTCGGGCTAACGCTCCTCTCAACGTCCGAATCAAAGCTAGCCGGCAGTGGCTGAGAAACCTTCTAGTCAGATCGCAATGGAGAGAAGCATTCCAGGCTGCTGAGAAGGCGCTCGGACTGATACCAGAGCTTGTCCTACGTTCCCTAGATAATTCGGATAAGCAGCACCTCCTGGGTCAGGTGGCTGGTCTGGCATGCGAAGCTGCTTCAACAGCAATCAGGGGAGCCAGGTCCCCAATGAAGGCTTTGAGATTCCTGGAGAAAGGCCGTGGTGTTCTGGCTACGTCGATCGAGGATATGCGAACTGATATTGCAGACTTACAGTCGATACAGCCAGAGCTGGTAGACCGATTCCTCAAGTGCAAAGAGGAGTTTTACAGCATTACTAACCAAGCTCAAGACACGCCCGTGTCATCACAGGCCGGCCAACAATATGAATGCGAGCGCCGCTTTGATGCCGTGCTCAAGGATATCCGTACTACACCTGGGTTCGAAGATTTCCTTCTAGAGCCGGATGCAGCAAAGATACGAGCTGCCGCACTCCAAGGCCCGATTATCGTCATCAACATCAGCATGTTTGACTGCGGTGCTTTAGTCGTGGATTCTCGTGGCGAGTGGGCTGTGAGCCTCCCACGTCTCACTAAGGATGATCTTGAACACAGAGCCAGACTTGGTAGCGTTGGCAGTCTTGAAACTCTGGAGTGGCTGTGGGATGCTGTTGCAAACCCCATCCTGGACTACCTTGGCCTCACAAGCACGCCAAAAGACAATGACTGGACGCACATATGGTGGGTGCCTACGGGGGCTCTTTGCAGATTTCCACTTCATGCAGCTGGGTATCATTTAAGAAAGACAGGCGAGACGGTGATGGATAGGGCTATCTCGTCCTACAGTTCATCAGTGAAGGCTCTGATTCTATCCCGTCGAGCCCCCATCAAGAAGCCAACTCCACCAAAAGCGCTACTGGTTGCTATCGAAAGTACACCTGGCTACGCCCCACTACCATTTGCGCGTCAAGAAGTTGAGGCCATTCGCGCAATTTGCTCTTGTATGGACTTG